TTTAATAGTTCTAACAGTTTTTTGGTGGAATCTTTAGGTTTTTTAATATATAGTATCCTGTCATCTGCTAATAGTGACAGTTTTACTTTTTCCTTTCCAATTTGGATGCTTTTTATTATTTTCCTGCCTAATAGCTGTGACTAGGACTTCCAATACTATGTTGAATAAAATAGGTGAGAGTAAACTTGTCTTGTTGCTGATCTTATAGGAAAAGTTTTCAACTCTTCATCATTGAACATGCTGTTAGCTGTGGGTTTGTCATATACAGCCTTTATTATATTGAGGTACACTCCCTCTAAATCCACTTTGTTGAGAATTTTATCATGAATGGATGTTGTACTTTGTCAAATGCCTTTTCTGCTTTTATTTAGATGATATGATTCTTTTGTAAAAATGATATACCACATTCATTGATTTGCAGATATTGAACCCCCTTTGCATCCCTGGAATAAATACCACTTGATAATGGAGTATGATCCTTTTAATGTATCATTGAATTCCATTTGCTAATATTTTGCGGCCAATTTTTGCATCTCTGTTAATCAGGGATATTGGCCTATAATTTTTTTTTCTTTTTTTTTTTGTATGGTCTTCAACTGGTTTAGGTATCAGGGTACAGCTGGCCTTGTAGAATGAGTTTGAAAGCATTCCTTCCTCTTCTTTTTTTTTTTGGAATAGTTTGAGAAGGATAGGTATTAACTCTTCTTTAAATGTTTGGTAGTATTTTACCTGTGTAGCTCTCTGGTCCTGGACTTTTATTTGGGAGTTTTTTGATTACTGATTCAATTTCATGACTAGTAATGGGTCTATTCAAAATTTCTCTTTCTTCCTGATTTAGTCTTAGAAGATTTCATGTTTTTAAGAATCTATCCATTTCTTCTAGGTTGTTTTGTTAGCATATAATTGTTTATAGTCATTTTTAAATGATCTTTTGTATTTCTGTGGTATCAGTTATAAATTCTCTTTCATTTCTAACTTTATTTGGGCCATCTCTCCCTTTCTCTCATTCTTTTTTTTTTTTTTTTTTTGAGTCTGGCTGAAGGTTTATCAATTTTATCTTTTCAAAGAACCAGTTCTTAGTTTCATTATCTTTTCAATTTTTTAAATCTCTATTTCATTCGTTTATGCTTTGATCTTTATTATTTCCTTCCTTCTACTAACTCTGTTCTTTGGTCTTTTTCTAGTTGCTTTAGCTGTAAGGCAAGATTGTAATGAAATTCATACCTTTTGACCACCTTCACCCATTTTGACACCCCCCCCACGCCATACACACATGCAACTACTAGTCTGTTCTCCGTAACTATGAACTTGTTTTTTTAAGATTCCACATAAAAGATCATACAGTATTTGTCTTTCTCTAATTTCATAGCATAATGCCTTCAAGGTCCATTTATTTTGTCACAAATGCCAAAACTTCATTCTTTTTAATAGTTGAATATTTCAGTGTGTATGTGTGTGTGTGTGTTTATCACCTCTTCTTTAATCATTCATCCACTGGTGGACACTTAGGTTGTTTCCGTGTCTTGGCTATTATAAAACACATTTCAATGAACATGGGATGCATATATCTTTTCAAATCAGTGTTTTCATTTTCTTAAGATAAATACCCAGAGTGGAATTGCTGGATCATATGAAAGTTCTACTTTGAATTTTTTGAAGAACTTCCACATTGTTTTCTATAGTGGTTGCACCAATTTACATTTCTACCAACAGTGTACAAGGGTTCTCGTATCTCTACATGAATGCCAGCACTTGTTATTTCTTGTCTTTTTGATACTAGCCATTCTTACATGTGTGAAATATCTGTGATTTTGATTTGCATTTCCCTGATGATTAGTGGTATTGACCATATATCTTGATGTACCTGTTGGCCATCTGTATGTCTTGCTTGGAAAAATGTCTATTCAGATTCTCTGTCCATTTTTTAATTGTTTGGTTTTTGTTGTTGTTTTTGAGTTGTATAAGTTCTTTAAATGTTTTGGATAGTAGTTCCTTATCAGATATGTGATCTGCAAATATCTTCTCCCATTCAGTTTGTTGCCTTTTCATTACAGTGATAGTTTCCCTTGCTTTGCAGAAGCTTTTTAGTTTGATGTAGCCCCACTTGTTTTTACTTTTGTTGCCTTTGCTTTTGGTGTCAGATAAAAAAAATTCAATGACAAAACCAGTGTCAAGGAGCTTACTGCCTTTGTTTTCTTATAGTATTTTGGTTTCAGGTCTTCAAGTCTTTAATAATTTGGAGTTAATTTTTGTGTGACATCTGGTAAAAATAATTCAGGGAAGGTGAGCTTATTAACTATAAGATATAATTCATCATCAAGACTGGGGCACTGCTGAGAGTGAGAGGGGGCATTATTATATCAAAACAATAGGCATTAATTAATTGGAACCATCCCAAGCAAACCAAGAATCTGAATGAAAAGTCAGACTATTATGTATTTTTATATACTCAATACCATGTTCCTAGTCCAAAAAAATCAGTAGGTTTACCACCTGTTTCATTTTATTTTGACAAGTATTTACAAGGAAGAAAAAACTAGTTTTGTTTGCACAAAGTCAATCCAAAATGGGGATATAGCTCTGAAGTACTAGAAGAGAACACTAGCTAAGTGACAAAAGATCTGCATTCAAATCTCAAAATGCCATTTTGTAGCTATGACCTTGGATAAATTATTTTTCTTAATTGGGCCTTAGTTTTATCATCCGTAAAATAAGGAATATCCATTAAACATGCACTTTAGAATTGTCAGTGGATCAAATGAGGTACCAAACACATTTGAAAGTATCTCATAATAGCTGGAAAGTGTTTTATATATATACATATATATATATACACATATATATATACACACACATATATATGGACAAAATAAATTTGAGGGAAAACATTGCAAGATATATCTTCTTACAGTAGCTGCAACAATATTACTAGATGTTTACAGATTGTTTTTGATGTAAATATTGCCTCATTGTATTTCTGGGAAGGATGGGGTTCTAGATTTCTCAGCAGCCACACGATTGACAGTATTGTTTGCTCATCAATAAAAAATAAAACAATACCGTTATCTTTAGCATCTGCAGAATTGGAGAGTACTTCAAAAGTACAATCCTACTACATTCTCACTGCATATCAGCTACTGTGTTGAGTCCTCGGGCCCTATCCTTAGACCCAAGAATGGCAGGGTCAGCACCGATAAAGTCTTACAGCCTGATTTTGTGAAGAAAGCATGTGACCAAGTGCCAGGACCTTAACGAAGTAGGACTGGCCCAGCCACTAATTAACCATGGGATCTTAGGCATGATGTACTTATAAAATGAGGGACAGTCTAGAGGATCATTAAAGACCCTATAAGCTCTGACATTCTATGATTCTACAAGTCTCAATGACTGCCTTCTTGGGTATTTTCCTACTCTTTGTCATAACAAAAAAAACACAAACAGATATAGATGTTTTAAATATCAGGATACATTTAAACTGATACAGATAAAATCTTTCCTACATGGAAGTGAAATCATAGTTGTAAACAAACTAAGAAACATTTGTTTTACAAGATAATTTGCCATAGGACCATGACCTCAAGGTGTTAGACAAGATAATTATTAAAGGCCTTATAATTTCTGAATTTTTCAATTCTGAGACATTCTTGGCACTTCAAGTGTCTAGAAGACTGCCTTCCTTCATTTTTGGATATTGTCCTGCACATTTTCCAGTCTCTTGTCATTACAGAAGAAAACATTTAGCATACAATTACAGAAATAGCAGTTTTAAATAGATTTAAAGTAACTTCAAGATACATTTACACTGAAATATACAGATAGAATCGAAACACTTATTCACAGTCTCATTTTCATTAATTTATGGAAACAAATATGAACCAAGTAACATCTTACATGGTAACTGAATTTAGATTTTTTTTAACTAAAGACATGTACAACACTTACAGCATTTACACAATACTATTTTCAAAATAGGTTTTTGACCTCTAAGAAAGTTCCTACTGACAAGCTTTAGATAGCAGCTTAGCCCAGTGAATATTAACTTTGTCATAAGAAGCATTTACGTACAGTCCCCCACACCCTGCAGCATGACAAAGTGAAATTAAGAAACTTTTAAGGCAGAAAAAAAATCCTTCAAGTGTAAGGTCCAATGACAGTGTTAACAAATGAACATAAGATCTCAATTATTCAACAGAGCAAGTGACTTAATTTACATATTAACTCATTTCTATTTCCTGATTTCTGATTCTGGGAATATTTGTGCTACACCTACTGTGCAAGGCATTGAGAACACATAGGAGGATCAGACATGGTCCCAGTGGTGTACTGGTAAATGTTTAACAACAAGTTCTTGGGAACAGAAGCCCTGACTTAAAACATTTACAAATTTCTATGGTGTAAATACTCCCACTATGCAGATTTCAAGCTATGAACAATTTGATCACTGGCTCACAAAATTCCTGAAACTTCACCAGTCACTTCTCACAAACTATTATTAGCTAAGTTCCAACACACCACTGTATGGTCCACACCCTCAAGTCGCTCATAATCTCTTCATGGGCACATATTTAGAGGCCAGAGAAGAATGGGGAAGATAGGGATAAAATTTAAGTATTTCAATTATGTATTTTGTAAGCAGTTTTAAAAGTTAAAAGGAAAAATAAAATCTGGAATTTTCCTACTTGTTTGCTAACCTACTTTCCTCTTAAATTGATTTCAGGAAATTAAAATGTAGCCTATACTGGGTGACAGTAAAGGATAAGTGGAATAAGAAGGAAAAAGACAAAAACATCCTAAGATATGTGCTAATAATGATGTTTACACTGGAAGAAAATGCTTACTAAGATAGGGGCAAATATATGTAACTTTTAAAATTTAAGCCCTTTCAGTTCAGCTCTAAGTCCTGAAGATTTGTCCTGTCCTCTTTGGCTACAGCTTTGATGAGATTAGCTAGCTTCTTTTGTGCAATACTAAAGAGCACACTGCTTCACACCACTCACACTATCAGCTCATAATAAAACGCAAAACTAAATTCTGGAAACTGATAACTGAATTTCCTTTGCATAATCACTCCCTTGGATCAGATCTTGGGCAAGTGCCGGCTGGGGTGACCCGGAAATTCTTCTGGTAACAAAACATGGAGTCTGCAGGTTGGGCATGTCCCCTGTTGCATCAGCCAAGGTCTAATGCACTAAGGAGCAGAAATATTCATGTCAGTCTCTCTGATTTGGCCTAGCAGAGGCAATTGTTACTCTATATAATCAGTTACCTTATCTAGTAAATTGCCAAGCCAAATGCTGCAATAATGGCACCTTCTCTGTGATTCACTGAATAATATCGCTGGTAACAGAACACCTTTCAGTGAGTTCATTGGATTAGGATCCTTTCCCCAGTCCCAGTTTTCAGGATGACTTAGCAATTCTTCCTAACAAGGAGGCTGAGGAAACCTGCTACATATTTTTCCTCTATTTTATTATATATTGTTCTCAAGTGCTTATGGTGTTTTGAACTTAAAATCCCTAGATGATGGATACACTTTTCAGATGGCTCTTTGGTGACAATGATGGTACTCTTGGGCTATGAACTATCTGTTATGTCATTTGCTTGAATACCAACTTTCCCAAAACAAATCAATTTTACCTGTATAAATAATGAGAGCCAGATCAGATGAGAAAGGATTAAGAATAGGCACTATATATTAGGCCCACTAACTGTAACCCTAAAAAGTAACCTGAATAGGTTACCTGCTTTCTATTCTATGGGCAATGGCAAAGAATAATAAGTTTCATGAAACATTTGTTTTCTAAATGGGTAGGACTTTAACACCTTCAGATGACTAAGTATCTTTCCTGATCTTTTGGGATTAGCCAGTCTGTGTCTATTTCTTCATATCAGAGTAGATAGAAAATATAATTCTGTACTAGGTATCACATATCTTTGAAATCATGTTTTACAGATATGGCTTGAATGAGCTGGCTACTATTCACTTCTTTGAGAAGATTTTCTTATGTAAGATTATCTTTTCCTGGGATGCCTGGGTGGCTCAGTTGGTTAAGCGACTGCCTTCGGCTCAGGTCATGATCCTGGAGTGCCAGGATCGAATCCCACATCGGGCTCCCTGCGCAGCGGGGAGTCTGCTTCTCCCTCTGACCCTCCCCCCTCTCATGTGCTCTCTCTCTCTCATTCTCTCTCTCAAAAAAAAAAAAAAAAAAGATTATCTTTTCCTGGGTCAAATTACATCTTTGCACCAGAAGACTTCGTTCATAAATTGTATATCAAGAGCATTTGCACAGCAACACCACCAGGAATTAATCTATATAAATGCTAAAAATCAACAAACGATATGCCAGTCTCATATTTTTCTAACATTAAAACTGAAACCTGAGCATCTAAAGAGCAAATACAAGAGCCCAGACTGTTAAGGTAAATCTTACGCTTTATAATGGTAGGGAGCCGTCAGTACGTGGAGACAGGACACTATCCATTATTTATAGCAAATTAAGGTTCAGTGACACTGTTGCTAAACTGCCACTGAATCGCTATGTCAATTAACATTCCTTCCAGTTCTATTCAAGGGAACTACTCTGTATTATTTCAATCTTATCATTGTCTCCTCTTTTCCTGTAAGGTGTATGGAGATCTGAGGAAGCACAGCACAAACTGGGGCTAGGTGTGGTGAAAACAGGTGTAAGTGTTTCTGTGTGGTACTCCAAAGCCCCAAGTTATAGTCTGTGGAACTCATGCCACAGCAATATCTGATGATACATGTATATGATTTCAAGTAAGGCAGCATGAATCTTGCTTATTTGATTTAATGGCAAAATATTCAAAAAGATAAAAAATCACAGATTTCTTAAAAAGAAAAAAGAAAAGCTAGACTTTCATTATATACCTATTGGTACTGTTTGAATCTTCTATTATCTAAATATAGTAAACTTACTTTGAATATTGAGGTTTCAGGGTAGTGTACAGGTCATTCTTCTACTATTTCATATTACTTCTCTATATTAAACTGACTTTAAAATGACATTTAAATTTTTTAATTGAAAAAATAATCAGTAAAATAAAAAATAAAATAAAAAGATAAGTTTAAAGGGTTACCTGAGAATGGAATTTGTGAGCACAAGGCAAAACAGAGAGGTTTTCTGGAGAGAGATTCTCATGACAGATCACACAAGGTTCCTCTTCTTCCTCCTCATCATCCTAGGGAAAATACACATAAGGTTCAACTCAGCTCATTTCTTTTTCTCAAATTGAAATGTACTTAGAATCAACAGTTTTAGTCTCACCAAATTATTGGCTCCTTTCCATGAGGCAGGCCCTTGTGAACTGAGGGGCCTCCAGGCTGGTTTTGGGGGCTGGGCAGTATTAGACTGTGGAGGAGTGTGGCTGGGTGAAACACAGTTACCATTTGGTACAGATTTTCCTTGGCTCTAAAAACAAGATTATTATACTTTTTTTCCAGAAGTGTTCTAACACAGTGAAAACTAATAGAACAGTGCAGAAAATGGGGTACAGGGGTATAGTGAGAATTAGCAAAAGGGTTAAAATCAATTAGATTTGTAAGAAATCTTGAAACAAAATGTTAGCAATATTACTTGTATACTCAGAGCCAGATAAAGGAAAAAAAAACATTATATGCTCTTTTAATTAAAATTAGAAAAAAGGTCTTCTTTTAGAGTCAAAGCAACCTAGAAGAAATTTCAAGATGGTTTTATTCTAGAATGATCAGGTAGTATTTCAAAAAGACTTCCAATGTCATTTATTAAGCTGAAGTTGAATTGTTAAGATTATAGGTTATTGATTTATAGACACGTTATGAAGATAATTAAGACCACTCACTACTACACAGAAGGGCAGGGAGATAAAGGCTTTTTGTTTTTACCTGTGATCTCTTGGGGTCAATAAATTGGGAAATCTTGTACACAATTTCATCAAATGTCAGTCCAGATAAGGACTTCCCATGAATGTCCTTCAATTTCCGTAAGAAATCCGTAAGCTCCTTCCTAGAAGAGATCCAGGAAAGAGCAGTGGTGATTTTTCCTACTGCCTTGAGGGTGTGCCCCCTACACAAGATACAAAATCCTATTCTGTGATTGATATGTAGCAGCATATAGATGTGGCCCTTTAGATCTCTGAGCTAAAGTCTATCTACATTTATCTTATACCAAAACAAAAACTCCTAAAGTTTAATATTCTTTCCAAAAAGAAAGTTTAACTGTTTTTGAAAGCTTGTATGAAAACTGTGTTACCTACTTAACTTATGCACTGAGCTCTTTTATTGTCTCTAACTGCTTTTACTCAGGAACAAAATACTCCTTTTTAACTATGTTACTATAGGTCTGTCTCTCGTCTGTGTTAATAATTTTACTTTTGTAAAACTCAAAAATTACACAGAGAAGCTAAAAGACACATTAAAATATTTCTAGGTTTCTTTATCACACAATTAATTAATATGTTCTTTTTCAATTCCACTATCACAGTCCCTTGACCCAAAGCCTCTGAATATATTTTTGGTAGGATAGAGCAAAATGCAGTATTTTCTTTCCCAAATGAAGTGTCAGGTCATCAGCCTTGTAAAACTACCTTTGATTTACTATTCATTTTATACACATATATATATATATATATATAACAAACGTATTACAGTTCTATTTTCTTTTTATTTTATTATGTTATGTTAATCACCATACATTACATCATTAGTTTTTGATGTAGTGTTCCATGATTCATTGTTTGCGTATAACATCCAGTGCTCCATTCAATACGTGCCCTCTTTAATAACCATCACCAGGCTAACCCATCCCCCCATCCCCCTCCCCTCTAGAACCCTCAGTTTGTTTCTCAGAGTCCATAGTCTCTTATGGTTCGTCTCCCCCTCCGATTTTCCCCCCGCATCTACTCACTATATTTATAAAACCATAATCTAATCCTGAAGCATAATATGTTCATTAAATAAAAGGGTTAGGCTTCAAGTGAAAATATTGGTTAAAAACTAGAATTATTTCCTTGAAAATAAAAGTAAAGATAAAAAACTTCATTTCTGGAGAAGAAAAATTAAATATCTTTCTGCTAAAGTCAGCACTGTGAAAAGCACAGTAAAATCATTATTTCTTGCATTTAACTGTGTTCTCTAACAAAAATTAAAAGCCTTAATAAAATTAAGGAAAAAGGAGGGTGGGTAAAACCTGATGTTTGGGCTTGTATAGCATACAATCAACTTAAAATTCACTTTGGAAAGAGGTTATTAAGATAATTATTGTAGCTGGTGGCATTAAAATTGGATAGGTTTATGACTAGTTGTACTTTTAATAAAGGAGCAAACCTAAATTTAAAAATCTATTCTATCATAACTTAAGACTAATAAATTTAGTGAAGAGGTTTAGCATTTATATTGAACACTATTTCTTTAAATTTCATTTTCCTTACTAAGGCCACAGTAAGGTAATACATTTGTGTGTTTGTTTCATTTTCCTAATTATGGTTATGGAAACTGCAGCGTATGATCTGTACTCAAACTAAATAAAAATTAAGATACCTGGTTTGTTGTGGAAAAGCAGTTTTCAGCCTGTCTGTAATCCTCTCCCAATTCATCATGGGGGGATCACTTCCCAGACTTGCACTGGGAGACACAGCCTCTCCCACAGGTGCTGGCACAGTCCAGGCTATACCAGTCATCTATAAGGAGCACAGAGTTATAACCCATCAGCTTCAGTTATTAGGAAGTAACATTCCATGACAACATGGTATTCCCACACTTCAGAAAATGGGTAGAATGAAGAGAAATACTGACATATACATTCCCCTTTTAGAGTTTTATTTAACTAGCACAATAATATTTCTTATTATTTATAATTACCCTTATTTTTAAAAGGGGACATGTGAGTCTCAGTAATTGCAAATGTACAGAAATACAGGGTGTTTAGTGCTGTTATTTTAAAAACCTAGAAACAACCTAGTCTGCTAATTATAGCATATCTAATCAATCCTTTAGAACAGATCTATGTATCTGAGTGTGAGATGTCCATGAAATACTTCATTTTTTAAAAAGTCTGTGGTATAGTATTTATGGTATGACTCATTTTTATATTTTTAAAAAATATATATGCATAGAAAGAGGTCTCAAGTTATAAACAATCTGTAAACAGTGATTATTTCCTAGGATTCAATTGCAGGGTAATTTTGCTTTCCAATTTGTATATTTCTATGTTATTTGCTTTTTTATAATTTTTCTAAATATGAAAGTAGTTTGTGCTAAATTTGAATTTTCAAAGAAATAAAGATGAGAATACTACTAGAATGTCTGCCCAATGTCTCATGAATGTTACAGACAAAGCTGGTGTGGAAATTGTAGTGATACTCCGAGCCATGAAACTATCAGAATTTTGCCAGATCCTGGGGTAGTTTCTTCTTAGAAGCTTTAAGATTCTAATTAATATCAGCAAGTGAATATTTTCACCTGGTTACTAGGATAATTATCAACATGACAGCTTTTACCTAATGTTCTACAGGTTATTTTCAAATATAAGATTACTCATGAAAAATTAGCCATGACTAACAGCCACTGAAATAACTCATACAAAGCCTACTAAGTCAGAGGAGAATACTGCCCAGAAACCTGGGTTTGCCAGAGTATCAAGCTTTTCTCCAGGAATCAGAAAGTAATCTTATTAGAAGGCTGAGGTACTTTAAAGTTTTCAATAAAGTTTTATATATATAGCTCCTTATATAATGGTGCAGGTGCAAACCACATGAGCAACACTGTGATACCATGGGTATAAAAAGATGTGTTATCAGTTAACATGTTAAGGCCTATATACATATTTGTTTGCAGAGGCAGCCTCTACAAAAATGAGTCCATCTGACTATATATTTCAAAGGGAGACTGTTTATAGGTACAAAAAATTGACTAGAATGTATTTATGGAAAAGTCAAGATTAGAGAATTTTTCATTAGTTATATTTAACATCAGTTTTTAGAAGATTTTTCTTTTTTTTTTTTTAAAGATTTTATTTATTTATTTGAGAGAGAGAATGAGATAGAGAGAGAGAGCATGAGACGGGGGAGGGTCAGAGGGAGAAGCAGACTCCCTGCTGAGCAGGGAGCCCGATGCGGGACTCGATCCTGGGACTCCAGGATCATGACCTGAGCCGAAGGCAGTCGCCCAACGAACTGAGCCACCCAGGTGCCCTAGAAGATTTTTCTTAAATAAACATTTACCTCTGCCAAGATTACAACTAATAATTCTAGTCATTTAAAATTTCTCTATTGCCTCTTCAGGTTTGGATAAGGTTTATGTGGCTAGTTGTAGCTAGGAAGATTCATAACTTTATAGTATAATATATTCCAAGATGATGCTATTTATATTGTGTTTATAGATAAAGTTGAAACACTGTCCTACTATACCTATGTGTGTCTATGTTTGCATAAATAAAATTTTTCTTTAGCTTTGTGGCATAATTTTGTTCTTTGCTTTTTAATCTACCCAAACATGCTAAATATAAATGATCTATTAAAAATGTCATTTACCCTGTATCGTTGCCTATTATAGACGCAAAACTACAAAATCGTGTAAGGATTGTCTACTATAAAAATGTATTTATCGTTGTATCCAAAAACTGATGATCAGTTAATGAAATAATATATGTAATGCTCCTAGCAGAGTGCCTCAAATGGAACTATTCATTCAATTATCAGTTTTCCTCCCTCCACTATTACCACCACCATCACCACTTATCAAATAAATAGAAGACATTCATTCAGGAAGTCTCCTGTGGTGATAAAAAAACAAAGATCTGTACCAGGGGAGCTCTAGGCTGGCCAGGCGCAGAGATGACCCCAGGGCAAACAGCAGGCATCTGAGGAACAGTGAGTATGGGTCTAAAGAAAGATTCTTTCACAAGGGGTCTTCCCAAGAACTGCTGCATCTAAAACAGAAAAGGTTAAAAAGACAAAAACTCCACACATTTATATATTTATATAGGCAAAGATCTAAACTCAGAACAATGGTTGGGAGGAAAAATACCAATTTGAAATCTAGACACAAAGCACTAGCAGTAGAAACGGTGTTGTCATCAGTTAAATGTATGAATATTTGGAAAAGCAAAGGGCAGTCAAATATACTAAAGAACACAGGGAAGAGAAGTTGGTTCTAGTCTCACCTTCTTTCCACCTAGCTAGGTAACCATGGATGCCAGGTTACTAATCTATAAAACAGAGGGTTAAGTTAGGTGATTTTTTTAAGGTTCCCTTCCAACTATAATATAGGGCTATGCAAAGGAGCTCCTCAATGAGTACTGGCCATGTTGATGAACAATACTCACACTCAAATTCCAGTAAAGAATCAAAGTTGCCTTTAGAAAATATTACTTTCCCTGATTATGTATTGGAGGGAACTTGTACCACCTGATGGAGTTTTGGCTTTGTTTAGCTCCAATGAGAGTAGAAAGCTCAAGTGGAGTGGGCCTGGGGCATAAAGCCTCCTACAATGACTTGTAGACACATGCTTGTAGGTGTTACTGCACTTCCTAGGGGCTTGTGGAAAGCTAGCCCTTCTTCGCATCTACCAAAGGGATAGATACCTTACCGATTAGGCTTCGGAAGAGGACAGATTAAGTTTCTACCATGTGCCAGATCTAGCACTGGCATAAAGCAGAAGTTCAACTATTTTTTGAATAGAAAAAAAAAAAAATGAACATCAGCATAGCCCTTTTAAGTAATGATACTAAAACCAGTAGCTGAAAGGTTAGTGGGGAACATTAAAATGGATATGTGAGGTTGACATTTCTTATTTAATGTTACAAAAGAAAGACCCTGTATACATCATCTATAAAGTACTCTTGCTAAAAATATTGAACCTGATTCTAAGCAACCCTCTAGATCTAATGAACAGTTTACAGGAAACAGTAGAACATGTGCAATGACATCACAAGGATGCAATCAAATCAATAATGTGGGAAACTGAACAAGAGAAATAATTTTTTAAACAAATAAATGACATAAAGGAGAGGAGAGTCAGGTAGCTGTTACAGATTTAAAGAACAATCAACCAAATGCAAAGTATAAACCTTATGTGGATTGTTTTTAAAAATAAGTTTTGTTTTTTTTTTAAGGATTTTATTCATTTATTTGACAGAGAGAGACACAGCGAGAGAGGGAACACAACAGGGGGACTGGTAGAGGGAGAAGCAGGCTCCCCGCGGAGCAGGGAGCCTGACGTGGGACTCGATCCCAGGACCCTGGGATCATGACCTGAGCCGAAGGCAGACGCTTAACGACTGAGTCACCCAGGTGCCCCTTAAAAATAAGTTCTTGAAAGTAAGAGTAATTATAACCAAACTGGAAATATTGCAAACTAGGTAAGAAAGACATTTTCCAGACAATTGGGAAATATAAATTTTAACTGGATATTTTAATTTTCTTAGGTAAAGAAACTGGTATAATAATTATATCCAATAATAAAAGTCCTCATCTTTTAGGAATACATACTGAAGTATACACGGATGAGATTATATGATATATACCTTAAAATATTCCAATAGGAAGAAGAGGATGACATGACATGTTGATAATATTGAAGCTGGCTCTCTTGGTTCACAGAGGTACTATTCTATTTTTATGTATGTTTCAATTTTCAGAATGTAAAATTTTCAAAGAATGAATGGATGGTGGGTATGAGTGGGTATTCCTGCTCTCTTTGTAGACAGCTATTACCTAACATTTCCTTGAGGACTAGATAGCCAGGGTACAAAAACCAAGATATAATAAAACATATAAAAATACTGGGTTAAACTGGGAAGAGCACCCATTATTTCAGACTTCTCAGATTAGACTACTATACATTTAAAGCCTGGTGACTATTCCTTAGACTACTAGGATCTCAGAGATAGATGGATTTTCTTTCTTTTCTTTTTCCCTTCCTCCCTCCCTCCCTTCCTTCCCTTTTTCAAGCTTTTAAATTCTAGTTGTTAACATAGTGTGATATTAGTTCCAGGAGTAGAAATCTAGTGATTCATCACTTAAATTCAACACGCATAGATGGACTTTAGTAGCCAGATCATCTAGTATAATTTCCTAGTTTATACATGGGAAAACAAAAGTCCAGAAGAGGTGATTTTCCAAAGACCAACATAGTTATTCACAGTTAGGACTTAAACCCAGATCTCTAGTTTGTTTCCATTGTAAAAACCACCTCAATTTATGGTGAATATCATTGTTACATTTCTAGCATTTGTGCTCTCAAACTATTTCACTAATGTTCAATGGTCACTGATGCCTGCACTTTAACACAACCGTTAGCTTTGCTCAAGCACAGCAGTGACTCTGGTTAGGAAGCATAAAAGATACACATGTACCTCTCAGATGTTAGCAGAAGGATGCACAGAGCCTAACTGCCAGTGGGTTTTGCCCTTGACTAAACCCATGTAAGCCCCATCAAACATAAGAAAGCCTCCAAAGTGATGAGGATCCAGAGGTCAAGGTTTAACTACACATGTCAGCTATGGAGTTATCACTGGTATCAGACAGCTTCTGCTGGTCTGGTTTCAAGAAACTCTAAAAAACATCTCTGTATCTGGCTTCTGAGTCTCCAGAGCCATTTTATATTTAGAGTCATGGGAGAGTTTAACTACAGCCTACAGGCAGTAGTTTGAATATGGGCTGAAGGCACAGGGTTTCTAGAAATTGTACCAGAATATGTGTTACTTCCTGTAGAACTACGGAGACTCTCTGGACTTCTCCGTCATTTACGTAATACGTTCCTTATCAGGGTAGTTGGCTATGATAAAATTCCAAGCTTAGAATAATAATGTCCATAATGTAGTGCTCCTATAAAAACTGAACTGACCAAAAATATGATAGGCAATACTGCATTCTAAAGACCATGGTGTATACCATATAATGCTTTTAGTTTCGAATTCTGCTTTTGAAACACAGTGTAACTCCACACAATTCACATAATTTTTAAGTTCTCTGATACACTCAACTATTTACAGAAATAACATTTTCAAAGTTCTACTACAAGCAGAGGTACTGATGGCAAAAAGTGATTTGCTGCTAAAGATCTCAAATCTTTCTCCTTTTCCTATTCCCAGATCTGTTCTGATAATTAAAATTATCACCTAATGGTTCTATCCTAAAAGTTCTTGGAAAGCTGTCTGAATTTACTGGATTAAGGTACTAGATTTCCCAAAAGGATAACATAGTGTAACAGAAAGGTATCTGGTTGAGGCTCACTGATTCCCAGCAATAAGCAGGGACGAGGCATCAATGGAAGCTGTTAAAGGTAGAATAGAAGATACAAGTTAAGGAAAAGAATGTCAAAAGTAGAAGTGGAGGGGTGAAGTTTAGCCAGCTGGGTACTATACCGAGATGTTTTAGTCACTGGGATAACCTGAGCGCTTGGGGATTCTGCACATTCATCAGTTTTCTCCCACACTGCAGGTGATACTTACAGGATAAAATGAGAATACATTACCTCTTTACATACCAAATGCATCACTAAAATCCAGTGATATACCTATGCCCTGGCCTCAGCTAAGCCAGCCAATTAGTTATAGCATCTGAAGATAATACAGCAAGAATGGACATAATTACAAACAATATGCACAACATGTGCCTATTCTATTTTGAACACACATTAAACATACTGAATATTCACTGTTTTATAGCCCTTACCATTTCAAGATAAAGATGGCAATTTTTCAAAATGTCATATTTCTTACCAGTATCTCAGGACTAGGTGGCGGTGGAGGAAGTTGGATTGGAGGCAGGGTACTCAAGGCAAACCCTTGCTTCACCTTGTTAATTTGTTCATTGTACTGTGTCTAGTAGAAGAAGAGAAACAGTATTTTAGAGCAAAATCAACTTCAAAGAAATAGCATATGGGAACACTTGCTGTAGTTTTTAATAATAAAACAGTTATTCTCAACCTATTATGTCAGGAATAACATTAACAGTTTTTGACATAAAAATAATTCTGTAACACACTATCCTCAAACGTAAATAGTTGTATCTATAGAAGTATCTGTTCATTGGCAAGATACAAAGAGACATAATTCACAGACCCTGTGATAATTCCTCAGTATTTCCATAATTTTCAGCCCCAAAATGGGAACCAATCATATAAAGTGAATAGCATCTAAAGATTCAAGAAACTATAAGTAATATACGGGCTGATAAATATGGGAAAAAAGTGTTTGTAATGAAGAGTTGCGCTACTTGCAAATGTTCAATGGTGGGAAAATTTTAGGGAATACTCACTAAATACCCACATTTTGTTTATTTCAAAGTTATACCTCTAGCTTTCTCCAGTACCACATATACCTTTGTTTTATTCTTTTGGATTTTGCCGAAAGTATGATTCCAATCACTGAAACTTAACAACATGCTTTCAACATTTTTTGGCACTGTCCCCATTTTACTTTACAGTATTGTTTTGTAAACAACCCAAAGAGACTGAAAAAGAAATGCTTAAGAAACAAAACATTCAGAAACTCCCCACAGAAGACATGTCCTTGAAAGAAAACAAGGACGGAGAACAAGGGGCAGGCCAGAACTCTGAATAAACCCACCATAAATGCTAAGCATCACTAAAGACTGAATAAGAAAGAGTCTGGGAGAGAAACAGTCAAGGCCACCAGTGGAAAAGCTAGAAAAGAAGGTAACGCTTTGAGGCAGTGGTCACGATTAAATGTCATTATTTTAGTAGCAGTGTTGTGAAATCACAAAACAATGAACATTATATACTTACTTTTCTTTTTTTTAAAGATTTTATTATTTATTTATTTCAGAGAGAGAGAGCATGCACATGAGCAGGGGGAAGAGGCAGAGGGAAAGGGAGAGAGAAAAGCAGGCTCCCCGCTGAGCAGGAAGCCTGATATGGGGCTCGATCCCAGGACCCTGAGATCATGACCTGAGCCAAAGGCAGATGCTTAACTGACTGAGCCACCTGGGTGCCCCTATATATTTACTTTAAGATATAAAACAAAAATATCCTAAAGCCAAATGAAGAAATTATAAATATTTAATGGTTACCTCTTTAGATTACCTTAAGCATAGTCCTAATTTTATTAAACCAATAATGAATAATTTATTATTTTGCATTCTGAAAAAATTACATAAAAGTTTAAGATTGAAAACTAATACAGGTCTGCTCGATCTTCCTTTTAATTTTATAAATACATAATTACTCAGACCAAGTTACAACACTTATTTTTGACTGGAGCAGCATCAGCTTTGGAATTTGGAAAATTAGGTGTGAAGCATGGAAATAATTGATCTCAAACCTTAAAAAGGCATAAAGTTTAGTAACTGAAAAAAACAGGTTCTTCCCTAAATTTCTCCAGTAATTGTTGTTAGATGTTTTCTTTAAGTATATACCACCTACAACATTCAGTCAATTTACTCCAGAGATACTTCACCACTTACCCTGAGGAATGCAATCTTGTTTCTAACATCTGTTACGATGGCATTCCAACTCTCTACTGCAGCCTTTAATTGAAGTGATTCCAGATTGCTGGTGTAGAAAAGGAGACACAAGAGAAAGTTCTTTCTTTTTATATAGCACACAGGTCTCCAAAAATTTCCATTATATTCTTTAGCATATATGTAAATAACATAAAACAACAACAAAATTACCTCCATCACCAACAATTACCTCAAATGGGCACAAAGTTGTATGGAAGGGTTTGTTATTAAAAATAAAACAAAGACTGGGAACATATAAGATGTCTTTTTTCAAGAGCAAATATAACTTCTGCTTCCAGAACATCAAGTGTTCTTCTATCCTGATAGTATTTTTTTCAGGACATATAAAACCTTTACACAGGAATCCCTCCACTGAAGTAAGGAGGCAGAGAGGGTCAAACAGAGAAAGTGCCCTAGCCATCCAATGCAGGAGCATTCTCAAAGATGCTGACTCCTCTTGGAAGCAGGTTTTGGACTATCTTCACCATAACCCTGACATCACAGGGCTGTGCCTGGCCTATCAGCTCTTCTGCAAATTAGAAAAAGATATTCCTTATGGGAGGGCAAATCAGAAAAGTACCTCTTCTGCGAGGATCAATTAGATTGTTGCCTCTAAGCAGTGCCTAAATTGCACAAACACAGCAGCTCTGCCAAACATGCCCACCAAATGACTTAAGTAGGAAGAGCTTTGAGGTGTTTAAGGTCTGCCATCTCTAGAAGAGAGATTTCATGAGGCCTTTCAAAAGGCCCCGTTATAACATCCCCACCCCAGTATCACCCAGCACACCAGCTTTAAAAGAGCAGAACAAGTTATCACTGAGATCATCTTATACAAAGAGGCTTGATAATATTTTAGTTTATAGTGCCCCTTCTCCCTCTAGCAAGCAAAGATAGACTGATCACTTACAACAGTGCTTCCTGGACCTGAATGCACATCAGTATATCCTGGGAATCTTGCTAAACATCAGAGATTCTGATTCTTTAGAATTGAAGAATAATGATGATCATTAAAATGATAATCATTAAAAAATAATGATGCCTTGGTCCCAGAAATTCTAATTTAATTAATTCAGTATGAAGGTATAAAATTATAAATTTAAGGATAATCTCATGCAACCTGCCCGATATTTGAAAATCATTCATTTATTATAACACAGCAAGAAACTGCCTTTACCATGTGATTTTAGGTGTTAATACTGATTTTTCCCTTTTGTATTTAAAAATCAAGCATTAGAAGAGAAATTAATTAGAAAAAGGTTTTCCACTTAGAATCCACCCTGTTTTATAAATATCCGGGCTTCATGCATGTTTCTGAGGTTTTTTATCTACTTCACTACAGAGAAAGGGAAAAATCTGTACGCAGCTATTACTGTACTCCCAGTAGACTTCAGTGCTTCTGCAGAAGCAACCAAGTAAAAGCAGCAAAGTGACTAAAGGATTTTGGAGGTTTAAAAAAAATAAGGGTTTGTTCACTTCAAAGACTCTGATGTCATACATGTAAAACACAGATTCTGTTCAGCCTTAAAGCCACTTGTATCTCTGAGATGAAGACGCATTAAGGAAGAGGGAAATGGTACCTTGCCGCCATGTGAGTCACCCTGGCAAGCTGACTGAGGCATTCCTTTTCAGTCTGCTCTAGATGAAGCAAACCAAAATCTCTACGACACTGTAAGAAATACACCTACAGATTTTGAGAGAAAGACAAAGAAGTTGAAGATGCCCTTGAAAATGAACACATCCTTTTCTCAATCATTTCAAGGAAAGTTGAAGCTATTTTTCAATCTCTTCCAGCACCTGAGCTTCCTGACCAGCCACAGTACATTATAAAAACTCTGATTAATTCTACAATTCTTTTTTACTCAATGGTTATTGGGTTAGTAAACATTCCAGAACATTAGTTTTCAAACTTGAACATACCCTGGTATCATCTCAGACTCTTTAAAAGAAAGATGCCCTGGTCCCAGAGATTCTAATTTAATTGATACCAAGTGCTGCCTGAGTAGTGGAATTTTTAAAAGTTCTCAGGTAACTCTAATATTCAGTAAAGTTTAAGAACACTCCCAGAAGTCCTGCTATTTGCTTTTTTTTCTTAATTGATGAAGGGATAAGAAAATAATCAGACCACGCCAGGAGGACCACCCAAATGGGCCTTGGGAGGTCATCGAGTCTGTCTCCCCATAGCAGGAATTTATTCTGCACCATTACTGTTGCATGCTCACTTGGCCTGTTTTTTCTCACTAATCACTCAATATTTGCTGAAAATAGAGTATATTCTTGGACAGCATTAAGTGTTTCTAAAATTAATAGTGGAAGTAGAAAGAAATGTTCTGACTAAAAGTAGTGAGACACAAAATATACAAACTTGAGCTCTTAACGTAATCTGAGGGTTTTGTTTTTCAGTTATAGCTTGCATTTTACTAATCTCCAGGGATTTTTGGTTCAGGTATCATTCCTTGATTGTTGACCTCTGGATTCCCAAGCATTCTGCTCAAGAATACAGCTTACCCATGACAGATGTGGGAAGGTTTATATAATCCTTTTAATGTTAGTGAGCTCTCTAAAAATTTGAATCTTATTGTATATCAAGTTTGGTTATCTATAAGTAAAAATTACATACATAAAGATAATCATGTATCTTTTGGAAGAGACCCTAGCTGTAGTGTTCTAAGTTACCTTAGAAGAAACTGGATGATATTCTGGGGGTCTAGAAAGTAAGTTGGTTTTTGAAATTGGAGTGTATGATGTGTATGTGCTTTGGGAAGATCTATGTAGAAAATAACAAAGAAAGGAGATGTTATCTCCAGCAGTAAAATGTTATTCTTAGAAATTTGGCTTAGTGACCTGGCTTCATGAGAATTTTCCCAAAATATATGTATTTGCTATACATACTGAAGCAGACCAATTTCCTGAAGTCATTTGGGGAAAAACAACATAAGATCATCAACATTGAAGTAATCATGTACAAAATTCCAATGAGTCAAAAAAGCACAAGAGTTGAAGCTATGTTCTTCTGGCTGGTCCTAAGATGACTTATTTCTGTTCATTTAGAACAGTCTTTTTTCAATTCTTTAGTATACTAGTACACAAGCAAAACTTCCCTCCCCAACCCCATTTCTCTCTCTTTTTTTTTTACCTCAGCTGTTAAAGCTCTGCTAGTTTCTGCGTTCAGTTTGCTTAAGTATGTTTTAATTGTGCTTTCCAGGTTATGCTTCTCCATTTCCCACTGAGATCTGGAATATATGATCATTAAAGAGTCAGCAACATTGCAGCAAGGACAGACTTTTCCACCTTATTCAGGAGGGAGAAAGATTCAAGCTATTCAGTGAGTAAGAAATGATTTCTTGTAAAAGTTTACAGCATATAAAAACAAGAGAAGACATTACTTAACCCTTACTGCTATCCTTTACTACCAAGAGTATAGTTTTAAAGTTGTCAACGTAAGGGCTAGGATTTAAAACTTGGCTTTGAAATAAAGTTGTCTGAGGATGAATCTGAGTTCTGAAACTTAATAAATGTGAAACCTTGGACAAGTTCCTTAACTTTTCTATACCTCAGTTTCTTTACATGTGAAAATGGAGAACACTGTATTACTGACCTCAAAGAGCTGCTGCGAAAACACATTCAGATAATATACATAAAAGCATTTTGTGTTTAGTACATATTAAGTATTAAATGTTAGCTATTACCATCAAATTTCTCATAAAGTTTCTACAAGCCTTTCTGTATCCCCAAAAGAGCAACTACAAAGGTTTTTATCATCCCTGCCCTCACTGCATTAAAGCTAAATTACTGCATTAAAATGTTGCACTGGTTATCTCAGTATCTCAGCTCACATTCAACACCTTAGAATGAAAACAAATCCTACAGCTTAAAAAGGAGAGTGGAATATGATAAGGACAGTATTTATGAAGGACATTATAGAGAAAGGTTACCTATCAGGTCTTTCTTTTTCCTATCCCATTTCAGCTTCCTACACCTGAGGCCCAAACTTTAGGGCATACAAACCAAATTATGTCTTTAAAGGAAACAACTGATTGGAAATATAATATTGTAATAGGGACTTGTACAAAAGCTATCCTCAATGTTTTCTTAGAAACACTTGGATGCTTGCATACTTGACAAACACTGATGAGAAGTTTGATAAAATAATAGATTATTAATACCACTATGGCCAGAGGGTCTTGAGGGAAAAAAATACTCAAGGACATATATTAATTCAACCAAGAGGACTTATTATGCCATTGAATACTGTTGCATAATTGCTTATGAGAACAGGAGAAAAAAATAAATTAGACTCCATCAAAATTAAAAACTTTTGTGCTTTAAAGGACATCTCAAGAAAGTAAAAAGACAACCCACAGAACAGAAGATAATATTTGCAAATCATGTATCTGATAAAGGACTTGTATCCACATGCATAGAACTCTGAAAACTCAACAGAAGACAAAGAACCCAATTTAAAAAATGGCCAAAGGATTTGAATAGACATTTCTCCAAGGAGATACACAAATAGCCAATAAGTACTCAAAAAGATGTTCAACATAATAAATCATTAGGAAAATGCAAATCAAAACCACAATGATCTACTATTTCACATCCACTACAATGGGTAAAATAAAGACAGGTAATCCAACAAGTATTTGTGAGGATGTGGAGAAATCAGAACCCACATCCATTGCTGGTGGGACTGTAAGATGTGCAGTCACTTGGAAAAGCTTCGTAGTTCCTCAAAAAGTTAAACAGAGTTTACCGCATGTCTCAGCAATCCCACTCTTAGGTATATACCCAAGAGAACTGAAAACTTTATGCTCATACAAAAATATGCTTACAAATGTTCATAATAGCATAATGGAAACAAATCAAATGTCCAGCAACTGATGAAAAGATAAATTGTGGTGTATTTATACAATGGAATATTATTTACCTATAAAAAGGAATGCATACTGAGATATGCTACAATATGGACATATACTATAGTAAGAAGTTAATCACAAGAGGGTACTTATATGATTACATTTATATGAAATGTCTGGAATAAGCAAATCCACTGGGACAAATAATAAATCAATGATTGCCAGAAGCTGGGGGAGGGGAGAATGAGGAATGCCTTCTAATGGAACCAGGATTTTTTTTTTTTTTTTAAGATTTTATTTATTTATTTGAAAGAGAGAGAATGAGAGACAGCACGAGAGGGAAGAGGGTCAGAGGGCGAAGCAGACCCCCCGCTGAGCGGGGAGCCCAATGTGGGACTCGATCCCGGGACTCCAGGATCATGACCTGAGCCGAAGGCAGTCGCTTAACCAACTGAGCCACCCAGGCGCCCTGGAACCAGGATTTCTTTAGGGTGATAAAAATGTTCTGGAATCAGACAGAGGTGATGGTTGTATACCTCTGTGAATATCCTAAAAGCCAATGAATTGTATAATTTAACACACTGAGTTTTATGCTATATGAATTAGATCTCAAAAAAAGTTATTAAAAAATTACCGACAGGCAAAAATATGTGAATCAGAATAAAAGCCAATTTCATAAATCAGTCACACTTAGCAGTATTGATTAGGGCAAAGAGATAAGAACACATAAGCTATGGTCCCTGCCTAGCTTGTTGTGGGACCATAACTTTGCTGATCTAATCTCTCCCAGCAGTTTTCTAGGGCCAGAGTTAAAGTGAACATACTCCCCCACCAATTTGCCTAGGACAATTCCGGTTTGTAACTGTTGTTCCAGTCTAATTATTAATGCTCAATTTCATGCTCAAAAGTACCCCAGTTTGGATAATAAATTATATGGCTACCCTGGCCAGAACATGCTTAATGAATATACCTAGAGTTTTAGAGATGTATACTCAACCAAAGCAACAGCTAAGTTTGTACCTTTTCATGGAAAGTTGCTCTTTAAGATTCTTGATTTCATTATCTTTAGCATGGCTCTGACGCTGTAATCTAAGGAAAGATAAAAGTGATAAATATTAGAAATTATTTGTCATTAATACAGTCAGAACAGCTCCCCTTGTAGCTGAGGAGGGACTAAGTATGACCATTTTGGGCCACAAATATTGAGCCTGAAAATAATTAGTCTCCTATACCTAGTCCTTCTGGAATTTATTTATTTATTTATTTTTTTCTGATGTCTGATTTACTGACTTCCCCAAGAAGGTAAGTACTAAGTTCTAACCCCATCAATTAGAAGCCAAAGAGAACTTGTATCCCCAGTTCAAAAACTCAGAAAAATGTCTTTAGTCCTTTGTACTCTACTCACAAGAAAACACAGATGGTATGTTCTGATTTCCTAGGCCTGTGGTAGGATTGAGAACTTTAAAACTTTTCTTACAAAGTTATTATATCAAGTCATATAAACTATTAAAGGGTTAAGGTCTGAAAGAAATCAGATATTAAATATAGAAGTAATGAGGCTGTGTGCAATTAAGAATTTTAATTAAAATAGTAAATTATAACTGGGGAGTCACTGACATGACCTAATCATGGGAAGACTGGTTAAAAATTTTATATAAATCAGAAAACATAACCTGTGATTGGTTTAAAAATTAATATGCAAAAAGCTACTGAGAGAAGTGCAAAGTAATACTTTTTCTTTGATATACGTTCACAAACCATTTCTGATGTTCCTTCCTTGTGCTGCTATATATCTCCTCACAACTAAGTTTTTACACTGACCCATTAATTTGCTATAACATGAAGAAGTTTACAGCAAAAGCACATTTCTCTTTAGGTTCTGCTATGTTCAGACACTTGGGATACACAGGAATTTGAGTTAATATAAATTATTGGAATGATAACCTTAAAACAATGACTTTAAATGTTGGCTAGATTGCTTACTATTAGATTTCAGAGATTACCCACTCACCTTTACTCCAAGCTTCTTAGAAGCTATAGAGACAATTAGTGTTTTTTTTTTTTTAGATTTGAAACAGATTTTTTTTTAAATTTTGTTATGTTAGGTTCACCATACATCATTAGTTTTTGATGTAGTGATCCATGATTCATTGTTTTCGTATAACACCCAGTGCTCCATGCAGTACGTGCCCTCCTTAATACCCATCACCGGGCTAACCCATCCCCTCACCCCCCTCCCCTCTAAAACCCTCAGTTTGTTTCTCAGAGTCCATAGTCTCTCATGGTTTGTCTCTCCCTCTGATTTCACCCCCTTCATTTTTCCCTTCCTTCTCCTAATGTCCTCCATGCTATTCCTTATGTTCCACAAATAAGTGAAACCATATAACTGACTTTCTCTGCTTGACTTATTTCACTTAGCATAATCTCCTCCAGTCCCATCCATGTTGATGTAAAAGTTGGGTATTCATCCTTTTTGATGGCTGAGTAATATTCCCGTCCCTCAACTACAGCTGCATTGTAGAGAACCCACAGACACACGAGGTCCTGCACTATGTGGAGAAACCTAGCACCTTTGTTAGTGACGTCATCAACTGTGGCATCTACCTCTTTTCCCCGGAAGCCCTGAAGCCCCTTCGGGATGTCTTCCAGCGAAACCAGCAGGATGGGCAACTGGAGGACTCTTCAGGCCTGTGGCCAGGGGCAGGAACCATCCGCCTGGAGCAGGATGTGTTCTCCGCCCTGGCCGGGCAGGGCCAGATCTACGTCCACCTCACTGATGGTATCTGGAGCCAGATCAAGTCTGCAGGCTCAGCCCTCTATGCCTCCCGCCTCTACCTGGGCCAGTACCAGCTCACTCACCTAGAACGCCTGGCCAAGCATGCCCCCAGGGGTCCACGAATCTGAGGAAATGTTTACATCCACCCCACAGCTAAGGTGGCCCCGTCGGCGGTGCTGGGCCCCAACGTCTCCATTGGGGAGGGGGTGACCGTGGGCGAGGGTGTGCAGCTCTGCGAGAGCATCGTCCTCCATGGGGCCACACTGCAGGAGCACACATGTGTTCTGCACACCATTGTGGGCTGGGGGAGCACTGTGGGGCACTGGGCCCGTGTGGAGGGTACCCCCAATGACCCCAATCCCAACGACCCCCGAGCGCACATGGACAGTGAGAGCCTCTTCAAGGATGGGAAGCTGCTGCCTGCCATCACCATCCTAGGCTGCCGTGTCCGGATCCCTGCTGAGGTGCTCATCCTGAACTCAACTGTTCTGCCACACAAGGAGTTGAGCTGCAGCTTCACCAACCAGATCATCCTCTGAGGGAGACTGCCAGAAGGCACATCCCCCCCAACTCCCAACTCCTACCCACTCCCCTCGAGGCTCCTGCCTGCATGGCCAGTCTCTGTCCAAAAGGACCAGAGGAAGCCAGGCGGGATTCTCACATGCCAGGAGCAACGTGGGTGGCCGGGGGAATCCTGGCCTCCCTCTTCACTCCTTAATAAACCCCAGTAAACCTTGGAGCCAAAAAAAAAAAAAAAAAAATACCACATCTTTATCCATTCGTCTGTTGAAGGGCATTTCGGCTCTTTCCACAGTTTGGCTATTGCGTATATTGCTGCTATGAACACTGGGGTGCATATGGCCCTTCTTTTCACTACATCTGTATCTTTGGGGTAAATACTCAAGAGTGCAATTGCTGGGTCATAGGGTTGCTCTATTTTTAATTTTTTGAGGCACCTCCACACTGTTTTCCAAAGTGGCTGTACCAACTTGCATTCCCACCAACAGTGTAAGAGGGTTCCCCTTTCTCCACAACCTCTCCAACATTTGTTGTTTCTTGCCTTGTCAATTTTTGCCATTCTAACTGATGGAAGGTGGTATCTCAATGTGGTTTTGATTTGAATTTCCCTGATGGCTAATGATGATGAACATTTTTTCATGTGTCTGTTAGGTGTTTGTATGTCTTCTTTGGAGAAGTGTCTGTTCATCAGTGTTTTATTGAACTGAAAATGCAATGAAAAGAAACAGGTCTGTTTCTACATAAAAGAGATCATGTTCTCAAGTAAAGAAGAAAGACGAGCTTTGTTACTATGGTATGCAGGAGTATGTAGAGAGATTTGAAAAGGAGATAGTAAGACTTTTTAAATTGACATCCTCCTTTCCTTTGCTTCCATTACTTTAATATTTTACCTGGCTATAGTTTAGAGTGGGCAATAAAGAGCTGAAGAGGTGGTGGGGAATTCAGAAGGCCTGGATTCTTAAATAACAGAGGATAAGGTAGGCAGAGTTCTTATCATCCAGCTTGGATAGGAAACAGCTATATATGTTCAGGCAGTCACAACTTCTTAGTCTTATTTTTCTCTTGAATAACATGAGGATAGGATTAGACATTCTTTTCTGAAAGATCTAAGTTCTCAAGCTTACTCTGGCTGGCTACCAAGTTTATTATATGAATTTTATTGACAGTAGTTTACATTTATTAAGTGCTTATTGTAATTTGTTCAAAATATGTTGCTATTATATAAATCTTCTTTGTTAATTCTTCAATTATCATCGGCAAACATTTACTGAACATTTACTGTAGGACTGACATTGAACTAGACCAAAGAAAAAAAGATTTTTTTTTTGCTTCCTAATAAACACCATAAAGTAAAAGAAATCAACATTTACAATTTAAAAATATTTACATTTTTATCATATACTCTTGAGACATGTTCAAGTGAATTGAACAAAGGCTTAAAAGCTGTATGAGAACACACACCATGCTTGCTCATGTTTCCTCTCAGCCTAAATGTCCTGCGTTTTTTCCAATCTCAACCTACATAGGCAAGGTTCAATATTGTGTTCAATGAAGTTCTTCCTTGCCACAACAATCATCAGTACTCTTTTTACCCTACAAAATCCCTATTAAGTATGGCGCCATTTGACAGTTATTTATATGTACAGTTGGCCTTGAACAACATAGGGATTAGGGACACTGATGCCTACCTCCAGCAAATGCAGATGAAAATCTGTATATAACTTTTGATTCCCCAAAAGCTTAACTACTAATAGCTTACTGTTGACCAGAAAGAAACCTTACTGATAATATAGTCAAATAATATGTTTTGTCTATTTTATGTATTATATACTGTATTCTTACAACGAAGTGAAAGAAAATATTACTAAGATCATAAAAGAAAAATACATTTATGGTACTGTATTTATCCAAAAAATCTACATATAAGCAGACCCACATAGTTCAAACCCATGTTGAAGGATTAATTGTACTTAAAAAACAAAACAAAACAAAACACACACACACACACAAACATTAAACTTTTGAGATAATCATAGATTCATATGCAGGTATAAGAAATAATACAGACAGATCCCATGTACCCTTTGCTCATGTTCCCTCAATGTTAATATCTTATAGAACTATAGTATATTAACCAGGATGTTGATAATGATACAGTCAAGACACTGACCAGTTTTATCACAATACCTCATTTTGTTCCCATTCCCATTTCCTCCTCCTAACCTTGGATCACTAATCTGTTTTCCATTTTTATGATTTTGTCATGCTAAAATTTTTGAAATTTTGCCATCTCAAGAATGTTATAGGAATGAAATCATATGGTATATAAGCTTTGGGGATTGACTTTTTTCACTCAGCATAATTCTCTATCTGCAGGGTCTGCTGTGTTATCACTTCTTTCATTTCATTTCATACCATCAGGTGGTATATGTATCTCCTTTTTGTTTGTTTTGGTAGAGGTCTGTCAATTTTATTGATATTTTCAAAGAAACAGCTCTTTGTTTTATGGATTTTCTTCATTGTTTATCTGTTTGCAATTTCATTACTTCTAATCTTTATTAATTCCATCTGCTTCTTTTAGATTATTTTGCTTTTCTTCCTCTGGATTCTTGAGGAGGGAGCTTAGATTAGATTGAGACTTTTTCAACTCTTTTCAAATGTGTACAGTTAGTGCTATAAATCTTCAAAGAACTACTTTAGCTGTGTCCCACAAATTTTGATACATTGTATTTTAATGTTAATTCAGTTCAACATTTTTATTTCCCTTCAAATCTCTTTTTTGACCCATGGATTAATTAGAAGTGCTGTGTAGTTTGGAGATTTTCCTGTTATCTTTCTGGTATTGATTTCTAGTTTGACTCCATTTTGATCTGAGTATATGCTTTGCATGCTTTCATTGCTTTTAAATTTGTTGGTTTTATGGGCCAGGATATGTTCTATCATGGTTTCCTATGGCCACTTGAAAGCATGTGTATTCTGCTGTTGTCTGGTGACATGTCCTATAAATATTGATTAAATTCTGTTGGTTGATGGATTGTAGAAATTCTGTATCTTTGCTGATTTTCTATCTAGTAGTTTTATAAATTACTGAGAATACAGTGCTGAAATTACCAACTATAACTGCAGGTTTTTCTATTTCTCCTTATAGTTCTATCAAGTTTTGCTTCATATATTTTGAGGCTCTGTTGTTGGGTACATATACCTTTAGGTTGTTATGTCTTCTTGGTGGATTGATCCTGTCATCATTATGTAACGTCCCTCTTTGTCTCCAGTAGTTTTTGCTCTGAAGTCCATTTTATCTGTTATTAATACAACCATTCCTGCTTTTTTAATGTTTTTACATTGTATACATTTTACCATCCTTTTATTTTCAACCTATGTTGATGAAACTGAAGTTTCTTGTAAATAACATATTGTTGGATTACAGTTTTGTTTTGTTTTTGAAATCTGCTCTGCCAGTGTCTTTTAATTGATATATTTAAACCATTTACATGTAAGGTAATTATTGATGTTAGGGCTTAAGTTTGCCATTATTTTTTTGTTTCCTGTTTTTCTTTTCTTACCGTCTTGTGGGTTATTTGAACGTTTTTTAGGATTACATCTTGACTTATTTATAGTGCATTCAAATGTATCTCTTTCTCTCTCTTTAGCTTTCTTAGTGGTTGCACCTGGTATTACAATATGTATAGTCTACTGGTATTGATATTTTCCCTACTTTCACATAGGTCCCTTTACTCTCTACACTTTTAAAATATAATTGTATTTCCTCTACACGTTAAACTCCACAAGAGATGGTATTATAATTTTTGATTCAAGCATCAAGTATGATTTAAGAAATTAATGACAAATAGGATGGACTATTATTTACCCCCCTTTACTCATTCTGATGTTCTTTCCTTTCTGAAGTTCCAAGCTTCTATTATCATTTCCTTTATGTTTACAGATCTTCCTTTTAGCCTTTTTATTTTTAAAGATTTTATTTATTTATTTGATATAGAGACAGCAAGAGAGGGAACACAAGCAGGGGGAGGGGGAGAGGGAGAAGCAGGCTTCCCGCTGACCGGGAAGCCCGATGTGAGACTCGATCCCAGGACCCTGGGATCGGAGCCTGAGCCGAAGTCAGACGCTTAACGACTGAGCCACCCAGGTGCTCCTCTTTTAGCCATTCTTTAATGGTAGCTTTGGTAGCAACAGATTCTTATACTTTTCCTGTCTGAGACTCATCTCTATTTCCTTCTTCCTAAAGGACACTTTTGCTGGATATAGGATTCAAGATTCTTGTTTTCTGTTGTTTTCTTTTAGGTTTTTTCTTCCAGTACTTAAATAATGTGCCATTCCTTCTGGCCTCCATGGTCTCAGATGAGAAATTCAATGTCATTTGAATTTGTGTTCCCACATGTGTTTTCTCTGGTTCTTTCAAGATTTTTTTGTCTTTAGCTTTCTGTTTAGTTATGTGCCTTGGAATGGACTTCTTTGGGTTTATACTATTTGGGATTCACTCAGCTTCTTGAATTTGTAAATTTATGTATTTCACCTCATTTCTTTTAATAACCACCCCCCCCATCTCTCTTCTCTCCTCCTGAGATTCTAGTAAGAATTTTAACTTTTATGATTGTCCCACAGGTCACTGAGACTCTGTCCCTTTTTTTTTTTTTTAATCTTTTCCCTAGTCTTATCCCCTCTCTGCTGTTCCGATTAGGTAATGTCTTTTGATCTGTCTTCAAATTCACTGGTTCAATCCTCTGTCATCTTTAACTTACTAGTGATTATATCCAGCAAGATTTTCAGTTATTGTATTTTTCAGTTTTATAATTTCCATCCTTTATTATAACATTTTTTGCTAAGATTTCCTAGGTTCTCATTTGTTTAAAGAGAATTCAATTTTGTTGCTGAAGCACTGTTATGATGGTCGCTTTAAAATCTGTCAGTTCTCAAATCTGAATCATCTTAAAGTTATCCTTTGTTGACTGTCTTTCTCTTTCATGTTGTGATTGTCCTAGTTCTTTGTATACCTAGGTATTTTGGATATTATGAGACTCTGGATTTAAATTTTTTTTTTTTTTTAGCAGGAAGACCCCTGTGTAGTGTGAGGACCTGAGTGAGTGTGTATGTTTAGCTTCCCATTCAGCCCTGCTAACAACATTCCACCAAAATCGCACACTGACACTCTGTCTCAATGCAGATGAATGGTGAAGAAGTTCAGTCCCTCCCTGGTCCCACTGACATTTCCCAAGAAAGTGGGGCACCAACTCACTCTGCTTTTTGCCTCTGAGTAGAGTGTAAGATCAGCTTCCTGTTGGGCCCTACTGACACCAGGGAAAGAGAAAGCAGAGGGCTGACTCACATCACTTTGTGGCTACAGGGTGGAGAGCAGGAGATCCATGTTGGGCCCCTCTGGCACCAGCTGGGGAGAGGGGAGAAAAGAGAGTGCCAACTAGCCCCAGGGGTGGCAGTTCAGCTCCCCAGGAGAGTAGAGGTGATACCTAGTACTGACCAGTCCCACCTCAGATTACCGTAAGTCTCACTGGTGCTGGGCAGAGGTAGAGGCTTAGCTTGCTGCTGGATCACACTGACACTATCCTGGCAGAGGAACCAGAATACTACCTGCTTTTGCCTGGTGGGGAATGGAAGACCAGCTGCATGCTCAGTACTGCTGATACCACCCCAGCAAGGAAATCTGGTTTCTGCTATCTGCCATGTTGGAACACACTGCTTGCTTCCAAGGGGTGGTATGGGACCACTGGAGCTTGACTAGAGTAGGTGGATACTGCCAAAAAGGCTTTCTGTTGTTATATCTTCCTTTTCCTGATCCTTTGGATAGAGAAAACAAGCTTTTCTTGAAGCTTTCCCCTCTCTACCTACTGGCTGTTCCAGGTTGGTGATTTCTGCAGTACCCTGTCTAGGATATATGGGAGGCAATAAGAAAAGTCACTGCCATATCATTCCTCAAGTACCAAGGTCTCGAGATAGTCTATTTTCTTCTACCTTTTAGAGTCTTCCTCTGCTTGTTTGTTGTGTTATATCCAGGGTGTTTTAGTTGTAAGTAGGAAGATTTGCAAGGAATACTACTACTATTTCTTGGCAGAACTAGAAGTCCCTCTGTTTTAAGTAATTTTAAACAAATTAATCTGTACTCTCCATTAGCTCACAATGTCTGACATGTCTTGATATCTTGGTATGTGCCTTACATAATTCTTCTCACATAATGGGCCCCTAATAAATGTCTGGTGAATGCTCCTTGCATGAAGACATATGCATCCCCTAAAATGGTCTGTTTGTAGTCTCAAGCATACAAAGGTGCCTAGGTCAGCTATAAGAGTTGAAGGATATCCTCAGATGGTAAAGGAGAAAGGCAGCAGCTCATCTGCATGGATGGCATTACTTTTCTGATTTCTGATATTATATAACATACATATGGATTCGTCATTGCCTTCCAAGCTAAAAGACAAAGTTTTGAACCCTGAAGTGTGGATTCTTAAGTGACTGTATCCAGCTTAGATTTGCCAAAGCCATCTTAGGTCCTCACCTCCTTGAACTTGAAGGATCTCTCTAACTTCAGCAGGGCTAAGCCAAAGTGTTTTTAACTGAGATTATGTTGCCAGCACTACGGCATCCAGTTCTTCTCAAAAATTCCTTTAAGGTTGGATGGTATCATATATGGGAGAAAATTTGAGACCTAAATCTTTGCCAAATATTTCTCTAATTTCATAATTGATATTATGGACTCCTTACTCTAAGATATTCTCTAGAACTTGTCTATTCACCCTATTAGCAGTCTAAGAACTAACAGATTTTCAAATTAGACTTCATGGACAACTGGCATCCTGTAGCATTACTATGTATTAAAATAATGTATTACAAATCATGTTATGATTTCAACTGATATGATTGGAGACAGTTAGTACAAAAAGAATAAAGCAAGACACTCATTTTCCTCTATTAAGTCAGAATTTTTAGTCTTAGGTATTTAATACTTAAGATTGTTAAGGGAATGTTGGGAGAGAAGAGTCTTCAGAATTTGATTCATTTTTAATCTCTTAGTCTTGGAACACAGAAACTCTGAGAGACCAATACAAAAAAGCATTCAAGTGATTTTATGGGTGTCTCTGAGGAACGTATTCATTATATGCCATAAAGAAACAGCAAATCATTGGTCATATTTTTAAAAATTAGAATCATGACCTGAAAGTTAATTCTATTTCTCATGTAATTCTATTATAATCACACTTGTTCAGCCAATACATATAAAGCTTGATATATAGAGTGAGCTCTTGCTTATTTCTCAATCCAGCTGGCTTGGATTTTTAAGCAAGTGCAGGCCTGTAAATCGTCAGTTCCTAGTGTGTAGTCACAATGCCACCTAGTGGCTACACAGGGATTATCATTTAAAGATCGTGTTCATTAAGGAGCAAATCCAGAATTTCCTGTTATCAATAAATTTGCACTTACTTGGATACCTTATTGATTCCAAAAGCCACTTGTTGGTTCAGAGATGCAATGATTTTGTCTTTCTTCTTAATCTGCATTTGGTTTTCTTGCCACCGAAAAGTCACTGTTTTCAACTGTCTTTTGAAATCCTGATCAATGAAAAATATTACTTCATAGGTAATTCTGTTCAAGTCACCATATATTAAAAGAAAAAAAAAATGGGTTCTTCAAAAAAAAGAAACTACCATTAAATTGAACATTTCAACTACTTCTTACTGGCTTCAGATAGAATGGCAAAAGTACTTACTTCACATTGATAGTGCAATTTATACAGCTGCCGCTGCCGAGCAAGCTTTTCCTTCTCAGTTTCTCCATATTCTGCAGTTACTTTACTGGTTGAGCCCTAATGAGCAAATGGAATATGCATGCCTTATTTTCCTCTAAAAAAACACTAATTCTTTAGTTAAAGGGTATTTAAAGTTGCCATCTAACTCCTACTCATGCTTTATGTCTCAATGCAAACATCACTTCTCCAATTAGTGCAGATAAACCCACCTCTCCCCAATTACAGCAATCACTAAACAATCCCACAGTTACTTGTCTACAGCTATACTACTGGATAACATTACGTGCATGCTTACCATATTTTTAAGCTTTTTTTGGTAATGCCTTTATTGTCGTAAAAACTGTGTAATGTAGGCACTTATTCCCATTTTAGAGATGATAAAGCTGAGTTAAGTAACTTACCAAGGTTACACAGAAATTGGAGAAGCCAGAATTCTAACTCAGGCAGCCTGAAGTGCCCAAACACTTAATTATTACTCAGTAACACCTTAGCTTAATATTCAACTTCTCCACTGGATTGTAAACACTATGATCACAGGGACCATGTCTTAGCATAGTTCTTGACAAAAAAGTGCTAAATGTTTTTTGAATAAATGAGGGCATAAACATTTTCCAAAATGTGTGTATTTTTATTTTGGAGCTCTCGTAACTATTGAATGAAAACCAAAGACCCCATATTTAAACTTTAGTCTGACATCCAAAGCTGAGACTATGTCATTTCAGTTAAAATATAAGTATTCTATTATTATAATTGGAAAGGGAAAAGGAGATATGACAATTATCAGCCAGGGAATCATTTTTACTAAATGTACCCTTAGACAATCAATATTCCTACATACTATGGAACAGGTTATCATTAAATTACCTTAGTACAGAATTCTCATTTAAATCAAGTGATTTTAAAAAAAGTCATATGCTTTGTCTGATTTAGTGTTCTACTGAGCACTTAAATCACTTTCACATATAGGTACATCATTCCCAAAGTGACTACTACTAGGAAAGGAACCAAAGGAAAACAAAACAAAACACTGTTGTACATTAATATTTTCATAGACATATCATGTCTACAACCAGTTTAATTTTTTAAAAATGAAAGTACCTTTGTTTTATAAAACTTTTTCTCAAAATTAAATCAATGGGACTAAGCCAAGTTTTTTTTCCCTTGTGGTATTTGAAAACCTTTCACAAGGAACACATTTGTAGTCAACACTGCCTAATAATTAAAGCCAGGAAATAGTTTGAGGGCTAAAGAGAAAAATTTCAGCTACTAAGGTTCTTTTTCCCCTCTACCAATCCTGTCCCTCCCTCTTCCTGTTTTTATTTCCTCCTCACAAATACAGCACAGACCACTAGGCTAACATGCTGTTCAAAGAGTCATGGCAAAAACAAAGGTTAACAACTGTTTCTGGAAGAAGGAAGGCAGGGCTGTACCCTTTCCGATCAGGCTTACCTGCTCTATCATGTCCAGAATATGCAATTCATCCAGGCTATAGAACTTGTCTTCAGTTGCAGAATCCTCTTGAATATCACTTCCATCATCTTTCATAAATCCACTGACTGGGTGTTGATTTGCTTGCTCTTTCTTCAACTGCTCTTCCTTTCCTATCATAGTTGGGCTATAGTGGTGACATAATCAGTATAATTTTTTATAATGGTTGAGTGTTTTTCATCTAAGCCATTCTTCCCAAATTAATACTGTATTGGTCTCATGAAATGTTCAGCATCAGAAGGGTTCATGGCCAAAGAAAGTTTAAACGGTGCTCATATTGTGTATTTCTCTTGACAATTCATAATGAATTTATTTAGCATATATGGAATAGCACTCAATCGAGGTACTACTCTGTTCATCCTAGTGTCTTCAAGAATTATGAGACCATGGAGTTTATTTTTCAAATTTAGTAACACCAGTTACTTTTAGGGAAACAATACTTTGGGAAATATTGATAAGCATCACATCTGCTATATTATTTTATCATCTCAGCATTCTTGACAAGTAGGTTGGTTTAACCAATTTCATTGCTGAGATCCAGTGTACATTTAGATAGAGGGCTGCAAATAGCAACATAAAGTAGATTTAAAAATGGAGGTTTCTTTGGTCATAGGACTTAAAAAAAAGAAACTGCAGTGATAACATGGATTTTAGTAACTAGAAAACCACTAAAAAAATAATGAAAATACTGTAAGTGCAATGACAAATCATTTCTATACCCATGTCTAAAAATTTAAATGCATGCTACTATCCTTTCAAATTGGCCTACTATTTATAAATTTCCTTCTTACTCTCATTAAATGGTAACAATAAATAGTACTTTTACTTGTAACATGACATAAATGACTTGATTAGTGAATAGAAAGAAAATACATAACTCTAGGATGCATTATTCTTTTAGGCACTGAGACCTAGAAAACAATGGCATCTAATGCTTGCACAGTAACTTGTAAAACACTGTAAAATAGTCATTAGGTTATCATTAAGGTATTCTAGAATGACTCAAACATTTTGGAAAGTTCAATGAAATCAATTGCTTGTGTAGACTACTGGTTTCCAAACCCAATTAATTTTTCAAATTATCTGAAGAGTTTTTTTTAATTATTATTTTTGCAGGTACCCCGGCAACTCTTAAGTACATAGAAGAATTTGTATTTTTGAAAATCTCCAGAAGATTATTCCTAAATTTTTAAAGTTTAATAATAGCATTGTGATAATATAGGAAAATGCTCCTATCAGTAAGAGATGCAAACTGAAGCATGTAGAGGTAAAATTACATGAAATTTAGGACTGAAAACACTTCAACAAGGAAGAAAATGTTAAGGGAAGAATGAAGCAAACATGGAAAAACAGTGTAATTGTTGAATCGGGATGACAGTTACATATATTAATGTAGATGCATATTATTCTCTTTACTTTTATGCATATTTGAAAATTCTCATATGAAAACAAAGGTCCCTGGGTAATCTGATGATCACCTAGGTTTGGGTCTACACTGTAGGTAAAATAAGCAAAATGATTGATAGCACTGTTTCACTCTTCAGTAAATTATTTTTATGGCACCTAGACCTGGCTTGAAAAAAGCCAAAATCAAAAAACTATTGCTCTAGTATTGTTTTGCTCAACTTGCTGACTTGACAGAGAACATGAAAACCCATCTTGGATGATGAACCATTTACTTACCAAGTAGATCACGCCATTATCAGTGAGAAAATATCAACTACAAGTGATGACTTTAAAGTTAAAATATGTTCTTGCTACCATTTTAAAGATATCTTAATAACTTATGTCCTCACAGTGAGTTCTCTAAAGTTACCGATTTTCAATTAACAAACTTTTTGGTGGGTATAATGAATCTCTTCATTACTGTCTCCCCTACTTCCACCCTCTACTGCATTGTCATCAATCACATAGTTGAACAAATAACAATGATCTTCAGACATTAAAAGGTTGCCAGTAAAGGTTCAAAATTCATAGTTAACAACTGGGATTAAAAACAACAAGCTGTGGGTTAAACAAACCAAATCAAAACAAACTCTTCCATAAAAGAGGTCATTAGGACAAACAATGATCTGTTCTTTAAGGTTAAATCTTACCTAAGTTATATTTGGCTAACCACAACCTAGACTATATTTTAAAAGATTTTATGCTGGATCCAAATTAGTCTTTGAATAAAAAAGCAGTTAGTACTGGGTGACTCTTGAGTAGCCTTATATAAAAACAGTGACAGATTCTATCTCCCAAAGTAAATGATAATTTACTTTTTATCACTCTGTTAAAAAGCGACAAGTTATTAAGACAAGGGATTGTACCTTCTTCTTTTAGAACACTTTTCAAGGCAAGGCTGTGTCATACCAGCAAAGCACACTTTGAAAATAGTAAGAAAAACTGAAAAATTAAACCAATACTTACACTTGTTCTTCTTTTGATTCCTTATTCTGAAAAACAGCATCAAGAATTAGTAATCTATATCAACTTGTCTGTACAGCATAGTAATATCAACTTGTCTGTACAGCATAGATTTAGATCAGTGTTTCTCAAACTTTTTTGACCACAATCAAAATAAGAAATACATTTTACGTTATGATGTAAATGCACTTATATATAGATCTTTGTACATAAGTATAAAATTGAAATTTAAGTTCCACTAAATAAACTTTACCCATAGTATGTGTTATATGGACTGCATGTTTGTGCCTCTCCCGAATTCATATGCTGAAACCCTAATTCCCCAATGTGATGGTAATTGGAGGTAGGGCCACTGGAAAGTAATTAGGTTTAGATGATGCTCTGCAGTCCTCATGATGGAATTAGAGCCCTTATAAAAGACCCCAGAGCTAGATCTCTTGCTCTCGTGTGTGCTCTCTTTCTCTCCACCATGTAATGTTACAGCAAAAAGTTAGCCATCTGCAAACTAAGAGGGCCCTCACCAGACACCAAATCTGCTGGCACCCTGATCTTGGACTTCCCAGCCTCTAAAACTGGGAAAAATAAATAAATGTTTGTTGCTTAAACCACCCAGTCCATGGTAGTTTGTTATAGCTGCCTGAACTAAGACATTATGTGATGAATTCTGAAGCTTTTTTTTATTCCTACTAATTCTATTTATTTTATAAAATGGTAGTTGTGACCCACTAAATTGATTTTGTAATCTACCACTGAGTCATGAGACAACTTAAAAATTATTGATTCAGATATTGGAAATAAGTACTGGGGCTGAGTTTGCACCTACTGATAATCTTGGGACAGAGTATGTGTAATTCTCCTTTATGGAATACTATTAACTAGAAGAGTTCTTGAAAATCTACACATAAGGTAAAAGCAGACTGATATATTAAGAAATCTTATAGAAAAAGAAGTGTCAGGGAGATCACAATTAGAAGGAAATGTTAAAAAACCCTAAATTTTAAGTTCATTAAAGTAAAACCAAAAAGGCAACATACTACATACAGGTAGTATCAATGACACTCAACACATACTAATTAAGAGTTATTAATTACTTTTATACATTACCCTTCTATTAAGAGTATTAATTACATTTATATAAATTAGAGTATTAACTTCTACTACCACTTCTTATTTACAAGAAACTTCAGGGTCTTCTTCCCCAGATTCCATGATGTACTTACAAATCTGTTTTGTTTATTTCTATATACTAAATGGATTTTTGCATTTCAGTGTCTGATCAATGTCCAGTGCCAATCTGATTCTATGATTTAGAATTATCAACTCCTACCTTTATTCCAGTTTACCTGAAAAACTGACCGGAAAGACATCTGGTTGTTAATAATGAACACCGAGTATAGCTGAATAGTTTCTGAAACTTTTTAGCTCTCTTATAACAACTTCTTGTCAACACACGCATCAGCCTGTTCTACCGGCATCTCAGCAACTTCCCTTCTGTAGAGAGCACACCCAATTTGAAGGGCTAGATTTATTTCCTGCCATGTTTCCTTTTTTCCCCAAAGGCTTCATCACAAAGCCTTCTATTCTTCTGCCATCTGCTTTATCTTCCTTTTCTATTCTTAACCCTTAATTCCCCTGGGTGGGAAGTGGGAGTAGGAAGGAGGACCTAATTAACTCCCAAAAGAGCTATTTATAATTTGGATATATTAGAAGCTGAATATAAAATTCCTAAATGAAGAAAGAGTAACTACAAAGTCTATCTACTAGTTACAAGTTATCACTACTGTTCCCTCTATTTGCTATACAAATTTTACTTTTTCATCATATTCTTCCAGAGTCCCTGATAGATCTTTGTAGAACTTCAACTAATGTTAGGTAGAGATATTGCAGAACAACTATTAACAGAGGACACAACATCATTCATAGGGACTTTGTTCTTATTCTGTACAACACAAGTTAATTTCTGTATGCTAGAATTTTTCATGAGGAAAACTCCTGATTAGAGAATGTGATTGACTTAAGCTTTTTACAACTGGTTGCTTATATTATAACCAGACAATTCTTTGTACCTACAATAACAAAGTATAATAGGATTATTGTATGTGAAATAGTCATATGCAAAAATTTCAGCATTTTTAGGTCCTATACTTTAAAATTTAGATAAAAAAGATATAAGATCTCTCTTCTAATGTCCAAATCTTATCTTGATAAAATTATCTTCAAAGTATCTCAACTTCTTCTAATAAAATAAATTGGAAAAAAAACTTAGGTTGTTGTAAAAAATAAAAAACTTTCTGACATTTAGTAAGACATTTTCAATAATACTAGCATGTGAAGTTTTGAGCTGTGTTTACATTTATTTCCAATTGTGTTTATTCCCTGTTTAATTTCAATTTGACATAAAAGTGGGACTTTCCACTGAACTAAAATTGAGAATCTGAGTAACCATATTTTAATTTTTTGGAAGAAAACTATATACCTTTTTGGAAGAGACAAACTATATCCCTTTGGTCTGACAACTGTGTATTTACTTGGCCAGCTTTATGTAGTATTAGACCTGGGATTTACTAATGTTTGGCAAAAATTTAAAAATGTCAGCTAAAATAATGGACCAGGTTGTGTTTTGTCATACAAGAATTGCCTAAAAGTAAGTCTTCTTATTCATCTTTTAAAAACATAATTTTAAAAATAACTTTTAAATGAAATGGTGTTATAATAAATGATGGTTATGATAAATATGAAAATGATATTGATATTTTATTGATCAGAGCATAAATAACCTTTATTTTATCCTTCACTTAAGTGTTCTGTAACTTTCCCTTGTGTTAAATTTCATTTATGATTAAAATTTGTGTATACTTCCAAAAGACTAGATAACATGGGCTTACCTGATTGTAGTTGGGCAAATATTCTGAGTTTATAATATAATCTACAGAGTACATCTAGATTTTAAGTGTATGTTTCAGGCCAGAAAATAAAACTTTTTTTTTTCCCACCATAAAGTTGGCAAAGCATAATGGTTAGCTCTATGCTTGATAAAAACAAAAAAACAAAACTCTTGAGTCCAAATCCATAGGAATCTACAAACATCAAGAGTGAACCAAACTGTAAATGAACTTTGGGTGATTATGATATGTCAATGTAGGTTAACCAATTGTAACAAATGTACCACTCTGCTGGGGGATGTTGATAATGGAGGAAGCTATTCATGTGTGGGGACCAGAGATATATGGAAAAATCTCTGTACCTTCCCTTCAATTTTGTTCTGAACAACAACAAAATTGCTCCAGAAATACAGTCATAGTTAAATAAAAAATTAAGTCAAAAACAAGACTCAACCTTCCTTTGTAATTTTCCAAGCTAATTAAGAGACTTTTTGCTAAAACTGTTATAGATAGTAACAAGAAGTTGTTTATTTTGTAACTGGCAAAACAAAGAAAAGGAATGAATGAAGCTTCTTGAATTTGTACTATTTTTGTACATTACTGCATTGGTGAGAGCCTTGGACACAAGAAAATCAAGATTTCTTAAGGTTTTGAAAAATGCTTCTGAATATATCACTAGAAATATGATGAGAAGCTGTTTTTCAAACACTGAGTAGGCATTTTTTAAATGAGAGTGGTATGCAGAAATTAATGAAATTTCCAAATAACTACTTCAAGTTTCTCATTTGTATATTTAAATGTATAATTGTGATTTAGGGAAGTGAAGTAGGATACACTACGAGTTTAAATCATTCATGATCTAATATATATAGACTTCTCTATAGCCACATATTCAATAAACTATTGACATTTGTAAGTCATTTATGCTATATGTCTACTTGAATTAATTTTAAGTTCTAACAGTGAATCCATGTATTAAATCTAAGTGTTCATAATTAGACATCCCTCTATTATAATGCTAATGCAGTCACTTACCTTTTTATTCTTAGTCTTTTTCTTTTTCTTTGGTTTACTCTTAACCTGACAAGAAATAAATCAATTAATATGCAATTCAAACTGCACAATAAGTTATTTTGTAAAATATACTTCCTCTAACCACGGAAATCTTTTATCTTCTGATATTATACATCACATTTTCTTTCTAGATTCTATAGAAAATTATTTTCATTTTCACTTTGATTTTAATCTCAGCCTTCTGCTCTTGAAAAAATCATTGATCTATAAAGGAATAACATATCAATGAATAGGCTATAGAAAAAAACCTCACAGATCCTCATTTGCATGTGTGCATGCATGAGCAACAAAGGAGGAAGGGACTTTAAAAAAAAAAATCAACATATTCAAGTCCATAAGAGGAAAAATTAAGTCTGGGAATAACTTAGTGACCATATAATAACTGTTAAAGAAATACAGAGATTCCATCTGCATGATTTTAATTCTATTCCTGTGCAAATGGCATTGAAATATCCCTGTTTTCTTCTTTCTCTCTTCTATTCCCCATTATGCTTTCTTCTACTTTCTATTAACTTCCCATCACTCAGGATGAAGAAACACGTTCAGAAATCTAGCATAGTGCCTGGCACATAACAAGTGTTCAGTAAATGCAGGCAAAATAAATGGTTAAGGCAGGAAAGATTTTGGAAGAAGTACTAGGGAAAGAACCATTCCAATTCAAGCTCTGTGTAAACACTATGATAAACATAAACTAAGATCATCTGGGATACTGTAAGGACAGCACATGCAACAAACTAAAGGCCCTGATTAAGTTCTGATTTGAATATTAATGAGAGCTTATACTTCCTGGAGATCTTTAATAGATTCTGTTGAAGATTCACTGGGTATCGACGCTCCATCTTTATTCACTTCTGCTAACTGTATTTCAGGGTTTGATTTCACATTTATATTGTACTCCATGAGGGGTGGACTTAGTTCTTCTTCCTCATTCTGTAACTCTTCTATTTCAATACCTAAATGTTAAAAACAAAACACTCAAAATCAGGATGCATACAGTTTTAGCCTCATCACTATTATAAACAAATCCCTCCTCCCCGATCCTCCCCCCATAAAACACCATCCCAGGAACAGAAATAGAAGACATCTTACTCTGTTCCATCACTAGATGAAAATGAAATGCCCATTTATCAATGACCAAATAGGTACAGATACTAGCCTAGAACCAATCAGTACAAACCCAAATACTTAAGATAACTTTACTGTTATCTTAAGTAGACTCTAAATTTCAGTAAATACTGTTATCTTAAGTGACTCTAAATATTAGATATTCAGAACTTAAGTCGACTCTAAATACTAAGTTTTTGAGGATCCTGACATTGACCCTATTAATACCAGAACTAGTATAATTTTAGGATAATGAATATTTTTTATTTTTAACTTAAACATTTTTATTGTTTAAGTATAATTTTACTCCAAACAAAACCCATGGTGTTGTTGTTTCATGTATAATTTTACTTGCACAATATGAATTGCATTAAAAAAAATCCACAAGAGCACAAAAATGGAAATTAAAAAAATCAGCAATTCACCACCTGGCAAAAAGAGTATATAGTTGAACAGTGCACAGTTAACCAGATCAAAGCTACATAAGCTAAAGAGTAGCATATACAAGCAGGTAAAGCAAGCAGGTAGACATTTCTGCCTGTTGAAGTATCCAGTGTGTTAAAAAAAAGTTAACAAACTATGCTTGGGTAAATCCTGGAGCACATGCACTAAGACCAAAGCAGAGTAAAAAGGCTCATACTACATTCAGCTGACCAGTAGTAATTTGACCACATGATTTTCCAAGCTTATAACAACATTTATAGTTTATCATATAGTTTATCTGACCAAGTAAAATGCCTGTAAGTATCCCCTAGCTGTCCCAAGTTGAAAGGTTATCTAGGTATTTTGTTTTTAAACATACTTACGTTGACTGCCCGTTATTGACTGTAGAGCAATTCCTATGATACATAAAGAAAAAATTTAAGATGTACAATTGCAAATGCAACCAAAAAAATCTGACTGGGACTAAGAAAAGCCAGAAGATTTTTACACTGCACCAATTAATTTTATAACTAACTGTAAGAACAACTAGCTTCACTCATGAATCCAGTTTAAACAAGGCATAATCTTTAGATTATAACATAAAGGTTATAAACTCCTGTTTAGAAAAGGAAAACAAAATTTTGATAGTTCATAATAGAAAATGCCTAGAATATAAACACTTTAAAACAAGTAGCACATTCTTATAATTTAAAAAGTCTAAGGTCATGAAGTAATAATAGTCAATTATGAAGCAAACCTCCATTGAAAGTTTGAGCATTTTTTTAGCAATATGAATTATCCTGATCAGTCCTCCCTCTCTCTTGCCTATTAATAATTATTAAGCACCTACAATGCATCAGGCCCTATTAGGCTCTAGATATTGAATGGTGAAGAAGTAAGACAACTTTGCAGTGATTTAGTGGGAACAGTAGATATTAATCAAACAAATGAAAACAGCAACTGTAATAACTACTAGGAAAGAGATATAAGATACCAGGAAAGCCTCTATTAAAGAGACTTGAAGTTTTTCGGTCTACCTAAGTGAGAACTGCTTGAAATGCTTTGAATTTATTTAGTGCTCAAATATTTCTCAAATATTACCTTTATTCTTGTTTGTTATTAAAAATCTCAATAAAGTAAATGTAAAAAAAAAAAGTCTCTTAAGTCAAGGGTTCTTGCATGACTTTCTCATATCATCAAAGTCAGCATTCTCTTCTTTTATGCTCAAAGAAAGCTCTTAAAGGTTAAGCCGGAAAAAACAATGGTATCCCAGAGCCTTAGTAAAAGCACTATTATTGGGGCCTAGCAATTACCTCTGAAGAAAATCTGGACCGGTTCAACAATTACTGGAAACCTGGTAAGTTGTACGGTTACATAGCATCAGTGTGGTCATCAGTTGCTCAGTAGGTAATACTTATAACTAATAACTTGGGGACCAGGAAAAGTAACCCAGAATAGCATAGTACGGGTTTCAGTGATGCTGACATGCCTTGAACTCCACTCCCCATGACGACAAATGAGAAGCTATCCAGGAATGTGGAAGAGGAGATATGAAGTCTTTCCCATATCAAGAGAAAATGTCTGGGAATGGCTACTGCTGACCTTGGATACTTGCATAAACATTATTTGATTTTTTTTCTTTAAATTACCCATGGGCATGGCCAATGGATAGCTGCCAAACTTTTAAACTAAATGTCATGGTTCTGCTAGAAAGGAGGAGAAAACATATACTCCTGGTGTCTAAAAGGGTATCCTTGAAACACAGTACCTATATTCCATGGTTTTCCTTAATTTTATAGTAGTGATAAAACTCCTTTACTTAAAAATCTTCAACAGTTCCTTTCTGAAAACAAGAACTCCTCGACATGTCAAGAGAAATCCTCTTGAATGTATTTTCTTTATTAACTTTCCCCTACTTTGATCTCAATAAGGCAAAACTTTTTAGTTCCTGCATTACAATATATTTTTATGTTTCTATACCTTTGTTCTTGTTTCCTTCTGAAATGTCCTTCTCCATCTTCTTCACTGGGCTAACTTTTACATGTCATTTAAGAATTCCTTAAATATTACACTCTCCAGAAAGCTTTTTTGGACTCTCTTAGGGTAGGATTCTGGAACATCTCTAGCACTATGATTTTTATTAGTTTCTTGATGAGTCTATGCTCCCAAGAATGTGAGCTCACTGAATCTCCTGCCCTTAGCACTGTGTCTGACACATGGCATTTACTCAGTGAAGGTTTACCAGCTGAAGTAAGTAATTATTTTGTACCTTGTTGATAGCAGGATAACATCCTCTGGATGATTTCTGGTACTGGTATGCCTAGGTAGATGGACAGTTGATGGTAATCGAGGGAGATATTCTCAATGGGATTCTCCTTCACTTTCTCAATATCCTCTTGCTTCATCCCAAGGCGCAGAAGAATATCTGAAACTTTTTTCCAAATTGAATTGAATTGTGACTCAGTGAGACCATTCATCAAAATCTCACTAAGGAGGATATCCCTGTATTTGCACAGCCTCAAGATGTCTGCAGACTTAGAGAGATCAGAAGATGGTGGTTCCATATTCCAGCCTTTTTTGGGTGCAGGGAATACATTCAAATGTTTTATGAGAGCTAAGAGGAGGTACAAGTCAAACTGTTTGGACTGTGGTAGCTCCTTGTTTGGGGGATAAAGCAGATGCCATGCTCCACCCATAGGGTGATTGGTCCAAAGATGGTTGTAGTAGGGTTCCAGCACATTCTTGTGTATAAGAAGCTCTTTTTTCAAAAGAGGGGGTGGCATAGCCTCATCAAATATTTGCCGGACAATGTCAGTACCAGAAATGATAATTATATGAAGCAGGTGATAGAAATAATTATAATCAAGTTTGAAGATAGGCATTTCATCTGAAAATGAATTTTGAGAAGTCAAAACATTCCACATTAATGCTCTTTTTCTATGTGGTCTCTCGTACTACATCCTAAGCTCCTGTAGGACAGGGACTATTCCAAAAAAATCAAGTATAATACAGTGCTTTGCCACAGCCAGTGCTCAACAAGCATGCTGCTAACTGTCTAGCTGTCAAAAAATCCCAACAAAAAACAATATATTCCCAAGCAAAAGAAATCACAAAGACTAATCACCACAGAAGCCTTTCAACCACCCAGGGTTTTGTTCAAGTAAATGAGCTCTGGCAACCAAATGGCATAAAAAATATTAGGCCTTTGAAAATTCTGAAGATTGTCAAGAATGGTAACTGCCAGTGTTTAATTATACTTTGTTTAAGCAACTATATTTTATTTTAATCAGCACTGTCCCGTAGAACTGTGATAAAAATGTTTTAGATTTGGTCTGCTAGCCACTGAACACCTGAAATGCTGCTTTTTTGACAAAGGAACGGAATTTGAATTATATCTAATTTTTCTTAATTTAAATAGCTGCATATGGCTAGTGGCTACCATATTAGACAATACAGAACTATTTCAAAAAACATAAAGTGACCTAATGCCTTACTATTCAAAGTGTAGTCCCCAGGCCAGCAGTGGCATCGCTACGGGAGTCGGTTAGAAGTGCAGAATCTTAGCATCCCTCCCGCCACCGCCCCTAACCCAGAGATACTGAATTGGCCCCTACGTTGTAACAAAATCACCAGATGATTTAAATATATGTTAAAGTTTCAGACACACTGACCTGATGATGTTCTTACCCTCTCAAAAAATAAATGACTAAGTTTATTAAGTAATTAAGATATTTCATCAGTGAAATGCAATAAAGCATGAGAATGAACACTTTGTATTTTTCTGGCTTAATAGCACTTCCGAAGGAGGAAAGTAGACTGAGGTGAATTAGAAAGTAATAAGAACTTGATATATGATGGTGTATTTTTTGTATGAATACCCAAATACATATTTATCATAAAATGCAGCTTTATTATTTTATCCTTCATGATTTTATGTTTCAAGAAATTTTAAAACTAATATTCTCGTTTGATATACTTGACATACACCATGGAGGCAAGCAAATGACCCAAGGAGCTTTCTCTCGGCAGCCAAATAAGACGCTGGCTGGGATCAAGAACATTCATTTCCCCCTAACAAGGATGATTGACACCAAACTATTCTTCCATGGGACTAGGAGCCCTGAAGTATCCAAGTGCTGAGAGGCTGGCATTTCTTAGCATACTCCTAAACAACTGGCACCTAAGTTTAGACTACATGGCCTTAAGCCCAAAATCTTCATGCCTTCCATTTAGCTCTAACTATTAACAGGGAATGCAACAGGAGAGGAGACGTTGCTAGGGAACACCTGCCGGAGTCCAATCTCAGTGTGTAGTGTAGTCACAGCTATACACACCAGACCTAGCAGACTTCTCTACAGGATGCCAAGGTAATATAAGACCCATTTACCTGCTGATTTCTGTCCATGAATTCCAGCCTATGCCAAGTGATGCTTACTTAGTGTAAACCCAAGCCCAGTGAATGATAAACATAAACACATGGTTGTTAGTGGCATGATACAGAGCAAGTCAAAACTTTTAATACAGTTTTTAAGAGGAGGCATAGAAGAATAAAACAGTACCTTTTGTACTAAATTTTAAACTGATCTTCGGTCTTATATCAGTATCAGTGATTTTCAGAGACATTAACTTTTTATAACTGCAAGTAGAAAAAAATTAAGTTACAGTTAATACCAAAGTCAATCAAGATTTCTGGCATCAGCATGGCTAAGTAAGTGAGCACTTTCTTCTCCTGGAAAAACTTAAAAACAAAGGAGAAAAAGGAATGAACAAACAAAACCCACCAATAGGTTTTGACAACCCCACACTGTCATTTTCATTAGAATTATGAGACAAACAGATCTGCTAGATTTCATACCAAGAAAAAAAAAATCATGGGACTAGCTTATTTGTAAAAAGGCTGTATGGCAGCAGAAACACTGTAAAAAAACCCAGCAAATCCGTAACTCCTTCTAGACCCCCCTCCAACATAAGATCTTTCTACCAATCACTATTCCAAGGAAATTCAACTCATTCAATGACTAGTGATTTAAAAAAGAACAATAACAAAAAAAAGGCAGCAACAAAGAAATGAGCATAACAGCAATACAAATAACTGGAAAAAAATGAGGTTAAAAGTAGCAAAATTTATTAAATAGACGAAACACTAAGTAAATGTTGCCATAAAACAGATGAAAAACTTGAGACTTGGCACTGATATGAAATCTCCCACAGAAAACAAACAAAAATGGGACAATACCACCACAGAATGTTTGTTTAATGAGGACAGAGATTTTGGTGATGCTTGTCGTTAACTCTTTTATCTCCAGCACCATAACACTGCCAACCAACCACTACACTGGAAACATTTTTAACTCTAACAGTCTGAAGTACTGGTGAAGATACTGAGCAAAAGGAATTTTGGTGGTGGGAGTGTAAATTGGCAAAACCACTACGGGAAACAGTTCAGCAAAATCTAGTAAAGTTGAAGATATGGACAGATGGCCTACCAGTTGTACTCCTAGGTATAAATTCTGGAAAACTTTCTGCACATATACATCTGGAGACATGTCCAGCCATGTTCACCATAGCACTGTTTGTTATAGCCAGAATTCAGAAATAACCCCTATATCTACCAGTGTAATTAAAGTAGTACAGCCTTACAATAAAATTATAGCAATGAAATGGAAAACTATAAGAATGCATCACACAAATAATACATAGGTAAGCATAAAAAAGTATCAATAACTACAGCAAATTTATATGGAATACACATTCCAATTTAGCAACAGACATTGTCAAGCTGGATATAAAGAAGCAAGACCTATGCTGTCTATAAAAACTCTCTTTAAATACAGACATATACAGGTTGAGGTAAATAAATGCAAACAGATATACCATTCATATATTAATCCAAAGAAGATAAAAATGACTAACAGGTACATGAAAAGATGCTCAACATCACTAATCACCCAGAAAATACAAATCAAAACTACAATGAGATATCACCTCACACCTGATAAGATTAGCTATCATCAAAAACACAAAAGATAATGAGTGTTGGCCAGGATAGGGAGAAACAGGAACCCCTTTGGTGGGAATGTAAATTGATACAGCCACTAGGGGAAACAGTATGGAGGGTTCTCAAAAAAATTAAAAACAGAATTGATCCAGCAATCCCACTTTTGGGTATACATTATATATCCAAAGGAAATGAAATCTCTAGCTTGAAGAGATACCTATATCCCCATGTTCACTGCAGTATTATTTACAATAGCCAAGACATGAAAACTACTAAATGTCTAACATGGATGAATGGATAAACAAAATATAATTTATACCCACACACACAGGAATATTATTCAGCTATAAAAAAGAAGGAAATCCAGCCATTTGTGACCACATGGATGAATCTGGAGAGCATTATGCTAAGTGAAATAAGCCAGACAGAGAAAGCCAAATACTATATGATATCACATATATGTGGGAGCTAAAAACTCCCAAATTCACAAAAACAGGCAGTGAAATAGTGGTTGCCAGGGATGAAGGTATGGGGAAAATGAGTAAGGGGGTCAAAGGGTACAAACTGGGGATCCAATTCCAGTGTACAGCACAGTGACTATAGTTAACAATACTGTTTGTATACTCGAAAGTTGCTAAGAAAGATCTTTTTTTTTAAGATTTTATTGATTAATTCTAGGGAGAGAGAGAGAGCACACATGTGAGCAGGGGGAGAAGCAGAGAGAGAAGCAGAGAGGGAGAATCTCCAGCAGATTCCACGCTAGTCACAGAGCCCAACATGGGCCTTGATCTCACGACCCTGAGATCACAACCCCAGCCGAAACCAGGAGTCTGACGCTCAACTGACTGGAGCCACCCAGGTGCCCTAGAAAGTCGATCTTAAAAGTTCTCATCACAAACGCACATGAAAAATGTTAACACATCCATCACCTCACACAGTTAACTAACCTTACTGTGGTAATCATTTCACAATACATATACATATATCAAATCACTTTGTATACCTTAAACTTATATAATGTTCTATCTTTAGAAAGCTAGGAAAGGGGCACCTGGGTGACTCAGTCGGTTAAATGTCCAACTCTTGATTTCGTCTCAGGTCATTATCTCAGGGTCCTGGGATCAAGTCCTGTTTGGGCTCTGCACTCAGCAGGGAGTCGGCTTGAGATTCTCTCCCTCTCCCACTGCCTCTCCACCCAACCCTCCCTTCCCTCCCCCCCCGCCCCCCGGGCTCATGCACACTCTAATATATAAATCTTAAGTTTTTTTATTTTTAAGACTTATTATAGGAAAAAAACCCAGCAGCAATATGGAAAAAATAAATAGATCATGACCAACTGTTATTTATCCCAGGAAAGCAAGGTTGGTGCCCAATCTGGTCTGATAACAGCATTTCAAAATAAGTGAATGTAATTCAGCATATTAACAAATTAAAGAATAAGAAAACCATATGATCATCTCAATGCATGCAGAGAAGCATTAATTCAATACCCATTCATGATCAAAATTTTCAGAAAACTAGGAAAACAAAAGAATTTCTTCAACCTAAAAAAAGCTCAACTATAATCTACAGCTAACAACATACTAAATGGAAAAAAGTGGTCTTCTAAGATCTAGAAAAGGCAATGATGTCTACTCTCACCACTTGTATTTAACATTGTACCAGAGGACCTAACCAGTGCAGTAAGCAAAGAAAAATAAACACAAAGTATATAAACTGGAAAAAAGAAATAAAGTTGTCTTTAGCCACAGATGATATGATCATCTGTAGAAAACCTCAAAGAATCTACAAAATGCTATTGGAATGATTAAATACCAAGTCACAGAATACATGTTCAGTATATACAATTCTATATAATAACTAGAAATTAAAATTTTAAAAATATCATTTGCAACAGCATAAAAAAACCAAATACATAGGGACAATCCGACAAAATACTTAGGAGACTGTACACAGAAAACTATACAACATTCCTGTGCAACATCAAAGAAGATATAATTAAATGAAATTATAGTCCATGTTTATGGATGGGAAGCCTCAATATTGTTAAGAGCAAATCATTCCTAAATTGATCTACAGAGTCAACATAATCCCAATCAAAATCCCAGCAAAAAGTTTGAAAATTTTATAAGGTATTTCTTAAATTTATTATAAAATAGCAAAGGATCTAGAACAGAAAAAAATAGTTTTGAGAAATAAGAACAAAGTTGAACTCAAACCACTTAATTTCATAAGATAATACAAAGCCATAGTAATGAAGATAGTGTGGTATTGGTAAATGGACAGATAAATGAATGGAGCACAAAAATGAGTTCAGAAGGACAATATATATAATCTATAGATTACATATATGTATATAGATGCGACAGAATGAACCTTGACCCTAATGTCACACCATATGCAAAAATTAATTAAAAAAATGGATTATAAATCTAAATGTAAAACCTAAAACTTTTTAAACTGTTAGAAAAAATATAGGAGAAAATCTTTTGATTTGAGGGTGGAAAAATTTTTCTTAAAAACACAAAAAGCATTAAGCATAAAAGAAACATAAGACTTCACTGAAATTATTAATTTGTGCTTTTTGAAAGAAAATAAAGATATTCCATGGGCTAGGATAAAATATTTTTTAAAGTACATATTAGATAAAGAACTTTTATCTGGAATATACAAAGAAATCTTATAACTCAAAATAAGACAAACAATCCAATGAAAAAAATGGGCAAAAAATTAGAATAGATAATTCATCAAAGAAGATATGTGGGTGGCAAACACAAGAAAAGATATTCAACTTCATTAGTCATTAGGCAAATGCAAATTAAAACCACAATAATATACCATTACACACCTGCAGAGAAACTAGAACTCTCCAATATTGCTGGTGAGAATGATAAAATGTACAGCTGCTTTGAAAACCATTTGGAAGTTAGTCTCTTTAACCTTAAACATATACCATATGACTCACTACTCTTGCTCCTAGGAATTTGCACAAGAGAAATGAAAGCATATGTTTATACAAAGAGCATATATGTGAATATTTATAGTGGCTTTATTCATAATAGCGCAAACCAGAAACAACTCAAATGTCATCAACTGTTGAATGAATAAATAAGTTGTGGTACATCTATACAATGGAAGACTACTCAGCAATAGACAAAAATAAACTAGTGATACATGCAATAACATGGATGAATCTCAAAAGCATTATGCTAAGTGAAAAAGTTCAGATGCAAAAGGCTTTCCTACTAAAGGACAGTAAAAAGCAATACTATCAGAACAGATATTGGGAGAGGGGAATGACTACAAAAGAGATTTGGGGGAAACTTTTGGGAAAATAAAAGTATTCTGTATCTTGATCACGGTAGTGGTTACCCAATTGTATACAAAGAAATTCATTTAAATGTTTATTTCTAAAGAGTTAATTTTACTGTATATAAACTGTAGCTTGAAAAACGTGACCTATAAAAAGAACTTCAGTGTTTAGAAATGCATTTATAAATGGCACTTTTATAAAGAAGAGCAAGAAAAGGATGACTGTGATGGTCGGGATAACAGTTACCTAGGGAGGAGATGAGGAGTTGGGGAGACAGGCACAGTGAGTGCTTCTGCAGTGGCAGTGCTGGCAAAATCCTATTAACTTGGGTGGGGATACAGGGTGTTGGCTTTATGGTAACTGTTAAACTCTGCATTTGTATTTTGTGAGCTTTTCCTTATATATATTTTAATAACAATAAAGAACCATCCTGTTATTCATTCGTAAAACCCCATGAAGTAGCTCTTCCAGTTTGGGTACTGAGATCCGGTTACGAGAGGATTTTCCCACAGAAAACAACTAAAAAACCTGGGCAGGTTACCAAAAGCAGCTCCCTGAGGCACTGGAGAGTAGAAAGAAAAGACCAACTCTGCTGAGAGAGTACATGCTCAGGGGAGAGGAGGAGGGGGCTGGATGAAATGTTGGTAACTTCACCTATCTTAGAGCTTTTAGCCTGGGGCTAGGTATATAGCCTGGTGGAAAACAAAAGTCTCCTCGACTGCAGGAACCAGAAAATTGAAGCCTGGGAACCACGGTTACTGAAGAGAGTGGGGGAACCCCAAAAGGGAAAGTCAGAGAAGAGATCCCCAATTTTTTCTAGCCAGACCTCTGACTGCCAAAACCACACATGTATGGAACAGACTCAAAGCAGCTCAGGTGAAGGCAAAAGATCCAAACTGAGACTGGAACTACCACCCCCCCAAAAAAGAGTTCACAGTTCATATCCAAGTTAACTGACTGTCAAAATAAAAGTAACATACCCATTGCAGAATAATGGAATTCAGAACCTCTATTATCTGTCATGTTTTCACTGGGTACCAGCTATATGTCAGGCACCCATATGGCATTATGCTATGCACTAGGAATATACTAGTAAGCAAGATAAAGTGCTTGCTTTCAAGGAGATTACAGTCAAATGGAGAAGATAGCCAAGAAAGTATAATAAAACTTAGTAGAAGTTGACCTTTGAATTGAACATGGGTCTGAACTTATACATGATTTTTTTTTTTTTTGGTAAATTCAGTATAGTATTGTAAATGTATTTTCTCTTTCTTACAATTTTCTTAATAACATTTTCTTTCTTCTTACTTTTTTTTAACAATACAGTATATAATACATATACAAAATATGTGTTAGTTGGCTGTTTATGCTATCAGTAAGGCTTCTAGTCAACAACAGGCTGTTAGTAGCCTGTTAAGTTTTGGGGGAGTCAAAAATTACATGCAAATTTTTGACCGTGGGGGGCAGGGAGGGTCAGCACCCCAACCCCCATATTGTTCCAGGATTAATAGTAAATTTTTTAATAGAAGAAGTAAAGGAAACACGTGATAGATACATCTAACCTAATGTAAGTAAGGCTTTCCAAAAATTTTAATCAGGCAAAGCCAAAGGAGTAGAGTATCCAAGCAAGGCCTGGAGGTCAAATAGATGGCATACCTAAGAATTAAAAGAAGCTTGGTATAGTTGGTGCATAAATAGTAAGAAAAGAATGACGAGAGAGGACACTAGTGAGTGCAGCAGGGACAAAGTCGTCTAAAGAGCCAACCTAAGAAGTCTGAACTAAATTAAGACAATGAGAAGCCTCTGAAAGATTTTTAAATAGAGAAGTGATATAGTTCAATTTTCATTTTTGAGAAGTGTTCTTGATGGCTATGTAAACAATAGAAGTGAAGAAAGGTAAGGCTAAGGACAAAAAGGCCATTTAGAAGCTGTTTCAGAATTCCAAGTGAGAGATCATAACTTCATTTAGTTTAATGCAAATGTAGGGGCAGAAGTAAGGAGGCATTTACAACATTTTTAAGAAGCTGAATTGACTGGACTTGAAAAAATTACAGAGCAGTGTTGGGAAGAAAGATTGCAAGTCCATTTGTGGGCATGCTGAATTACAGATATTTTTGGAAAATAAAAGTGGAGCTATTTAGTACACCAATAATAGATCTAGATTTTAGGAGTGGAACCTGCGCTAGAGGTAAAGACTTGGGTTTTCATTAACTCATGAAGGAAAACTGATGTCTTAGATATCAATGCCATATTCCTGGTAGACTGAAAAATGGTAGAAACTTACACTTGCAAGAGAAGAAAAGAGAATCAAAGAATTAGGAGAATATTTTATATTGAAATTTCTAATTTCAATAGCAATAATGCTGTATACCTCTTTGAGTTCCCAGCTTATACTGTATCTTCCTCTGCAATATAGTTTTCTCATCCAAGAAATAAGACAATTCTAATTGTCAGACAAGCTTGGAGGCCTGGATGAGTTTTGAAAGCTAGAAGGAAGTTTTTATATCATAACAACCTAATTTAAATAACTTTTAAGAAAAATATGTTCTGTTTTCAAGAAAGGATTATTTTCATACTTAAGGGAAAAGTATCCACCTAATTTACTCTTATTTACTTTAGAATTTAAACGTCTACAAAGTGGGGAGAGAGGGGGAAATAAATGTCAACCAAATACAATTTTTTCATACAGCTAATACTACCTTTAAACTTAATGGAGCTCCAACAAGTGAACAGAAACAGAAAAAAGCAGCAAGTGAAAAATATATACATGCTCAGGAAAATGAATATTTTATTTCAAGCTTACCTTGCTCCTAAATTTTCAATGGTTATATATTCATCCTTTCTCACAACTTCAAACTGCAAGTGATGGAAAAAAAATAGCCCTAAAGTAGTTCAATTTTCAAAATTCTTTAGTGTTACTTCTTAGCCTTAATATTTGAAAAAAGACAGTGAGAATGAAGCTATAGAGACTTTAAAACACGTAAAACAAGTAACAAGGTGAGCCATAAGCAATCCTAATCAAACAACAAACTAGAGTTGATCTGAAAAAGCAATCCTATTATATATCAGTATAGGATTTAAATGCTGAATCTGAAATACAAAAATATACATATGTAAAGAAATAAATAATACATATTTCTAATTTTGGTCTATTTACTTATACACTGAAAATTCAACAAGATATTTCATTAAATAAAAAAATTAAGTGGATACCATTTGAGTATGTAACAGGTACAATATGTTCTACGGATATATTCATGGGAAGATGCTCACAGACTACAAGAAGTTCAGAAAGTCTAAAATTATTTTTAACCTTGGATGGCACAGAATGAGATTATCATTCTTGGTTTATGACAGACTTTCCTCATTGGTACAGCCATTGCCAGCTTTGTCTCTCTCCCTCCCTCCCCCCTGTGTATCTTTATTTAAAAAAAAATTTTTTTTTTAATTCCTAAGGGCCACATAAATAGTACTTTGGAGAAATAAAAGCAATAGGAAGGTCAGAGAGCTCAGTCATCATCAAAGAGAAAAAATATGACTAGAATACCATTGATTCTCAAATCTGTTTGAAGTAAAAAATACCATTCCAGTGAAAGAAAGCAAAAAAATAAGAAAAAGATACTCACCAAAATTTTAACAATTCCAGGTACATCACATTGTAGCATCCTTACCATGTCACCCGTACATCCTTCCTTCAAACATTTTTTCCCACTAAAGGTCTAAAATTATCAATAGAAAAAACAAATAACCAACATTTGCATCAACATGGATGGAACTGGAGGAGATTATGCTAAGTGAAATAAGTCAAACAGAGAAAGACAATTATCATATGGTTTCACTTATTTGTGGAATATAAGAAATAGCATGGAGGAGAGTAGGAGAAGGAAGGGAAAAATGAAGGGGTGGGGGAATCAGGGTGAGATGAACCATGAGAGACTATGGACTCTGGGAATCAAACTGATGGTTTTAGAAGGGAGGGGGTGGGGGGATGGGTGAGCCCAGTGATGGGTATTAAGGAGGGCACGTATTGCATGGAGCATGGAGTGCTATATGCAAACAATGAATCATGGAACACTACATCAAAAACTAATGATGTACTGTATGGTAACTAACATAATAAAAAAAATTATAAAAAAATACTAATAGAAAAAATATAAAAATAGAAATAGAAAAAAACCCACTAATGTGCAAATCTGATTAAAGTTAAAAGCAGATGTTGCTAGATGGTAAAACAAAAGATGTGAATAAACATTTGAGAGTTAGCTGTTTAAAGATAGTCCATTTCATGTATCAATGGATTTCCTATTTAAAATGCATGATCACACTTTTCTCTTTCATCATTTCTACTTCAAAGTCTTCAAATACCAAAAAACAACCTAAAATGTATTCACTGCCCCTAGGGAAAGCAATTCAAGTGAAATGTACTGATTAAGCAAGGGTAAAAAGGAATACTGAATTTCCATCAGATATATGAGGATTCCAGGGAAAATAATAAAAATGTTGACTCCTTTCTCTGGTTCTGAACTTGCTATTTCCCCTGGTTAAGTTACTTAGTTTTCTTGTACTTCTTTTTCTGAGGTTGAGCTATATTGATTGCCCTAACAATCAAAGAAAGTGAAAAGTATTCATATGTTGCTTAAAAAAATGAGTAACAATACTTCACACAATGATTTTTAGTGTACAGTCCAAGTTCACGTTTTATCTAGTAATCCTCACAATCTTAAGAAGTAGGTAGTACTATTCTCACTTCATGGTTTAGAAAACTGAGTCTCTGATTAAATCACCAAAAAAAAAAAAAAAATAGTAAGTGGCTCAATCTGGACTTGAACCCAGATCACCCAACTCTATATACAGTGCTCTTCCTACTATGCCACAATTGCTTTATAAAGGTTTTCTGTTGTCTGCACAGTATAAGCACTCTAGAACCAAACAGTATAAACCCAATTTATGGCCATTAGCTCACTAGAGAGTAATCAATATAGAATTGGGCTTTGGATTTCTACTTTCATAAGAATTTAATTTAGTTATATTACTTTAGGTAAATATAAATAATTACAAATATATGATTGAAGACTATAAAATTTATTGTTTTTCTCTATCTCTTAAAAAAGAAACTATCCTTAAAATTGTATACGTCCTTTCCATTTTTTTGTCTAGCAATTATATTCTTTGATTCTATGTCCTTTATGTGAATACACACAATATTTCTATTTTTTTAAATTTTTCTTTTTTTTTTAATCAGACAGTGTGTGAGCACAAGCAGGGGGAGTGGCAGGTAGAGGGAGAAGCAGGCTCCCTGCCGAGGAAGGAGTATGACGTGGGACTCAATTCCAGGATCTTAGGATCATGACCTGAGCCAAAGACAGTCACTTAACTCACTCAGCCACTCAGGCATCCCACAATATTTCTATTTTCAACAGCATAAACTTCTAAAAGGAAGGGAACAAATTGATAGAAATTACTAACCAAAGCAACTAAGGGAACAAATTGATAGAAATTACTAACCAAAGCAACTAGCAGAGTATCCCCTGCAAAGATGTGTTTAATAAATGGTGATGATGAACAAAGAACAATGAGGAGAAGAGCATCAAAGACATTAGGGAAAGAAAAACAGAGAGAAAAAAAGCAGAAGATGTGAACAGGAAGAAATGGGATGGATAAAGGAAGAAATGCTTTAAAGTTTTGAAGGAAAAACAAATACCTGATCATTTTCACCTGGATATTTTAAATTCTTGAACTTTTTCCAACAAATTTTATGGAAATAAACACAGCAGCTTTTACTGCACATTAATTGAAAAAATCCCTGGAAAAGACAAAAGTAAGCTGTTGATATGGAAATAATAATTCATATAGGTATAGAAAATACTACCATAAGTCTCATTCATTCATTCACTTATTTAGACACGAACACCTTAAGTGACTTTCAAAATTATGCTGTAACTAGGTGAGTTTTACATGGCATTCAAAATTTATCAACAGATCATTAGTAATCAAAGAACTTTGGAAGTCATTTTTCATAGGTCCATTTTTTTACATCACTAAAGACAGAAGCATTAGGACAAAAAGAAAAGGCAGTGATGGGAATAAGCCAATGTAATATTTTCCATATACTGACACATATACTGTTGTTCTGATAAAACAAAATATCAGAAATTTGGTGAGTGACCTTTTTAGAGGAATATGTTATCTACCCCTCTTCACCTCCATTTTTACATTTCTCTTTTCCTCCAGCTCCAATTCCATACCATTTTCCCCTGGCAGCTCTGTTAACAATCACTAGACCCAATTTGCAATATTAATAACAGCTACTGTTATCCCAAGGCATACATTTCTAGTCCTTCCCAGTATGTACTCCCTGGGAACTACAGTCCTGCTTCCTTTAAACCGGTAAACTGCTTGGAAGACAAAGATATAAACTTTGTGGCCAGGACCTGCTGCTGCTACATGCTGCCCATGTGACTGGAACCCTGGAAGCCTTCCTGGGAAACCTTAGGACCATATCACCATGTCACCTAAACCAGACCCAACTTGCCTCCACCCTGAGCACTCCACTTCACCAGGCCCACTTCCCAATAGCTGTGTTACTCTAATGAATACATTTTGGATTTCTCCCCCCACCACTCACTGTATACATCATACCTTGCAACTGGATTTCCATTATATGATAGAAGTGGTGTCAAACTGACACTGATGGTCACATCTCATCCTATCTTGTGATTTCCCACAGCCTTATTCTGATATAGCCAGAGAGAACTAGATTTGATGTACTTTGCTGAATTTCTTCAAATCCAGGCTGGTTTCATTTTGTTCGCCCAAGACCCATTCAACAGATAACAATCACTTACTTAGTAATAGAATTCTTGAAGAGTTAACAACCTTTCTCCTTAGTAAAATGCTAATATTCTCAACCTATAACATTTCTAACTATAAAGAATATTTTACATAATTTTTACTGTTATGATTGCAGGGACATTAACTATAACTACAGAGACATTTGAATATTACAAAATCCCTAGCAAAATTGATTCATTTTTTATTGACTCACAAGATATATGTAATTCCTGCTCACTATGAATCTAAGTTCTTTGAGATACTCAGTTTTTTTTAAAGATTTATTTATTTGAGACAGAGGTGGAGAGAGTACAGGTTCACACTCAAGCAGGGGGAGGGGCAGAGGGACAGAGAGGGAGAGAGAGAATCTCCAGCAGACTCCCCGCCACTATCTATTCAGCTTCAAGCCAGAAATCTTAAAGTCATCTATTGCATAATGGATTCCATCACCCTTTGCATGCAATACATCATCAAGTAATTGCTGTGTCTTTTCCATGACGACCTGAGCTGAAATCAAGAGTTGGATGCTTAACCAACTGAGCCATGCAGGCACCCCGAGATATTCAACTTCTTAACTGCATTACTACTATAATTAAACTAAGTACTCTTGTTATTTTTTTAAAGACTTATTTTTTTATTTATTTGACAGAGAGAGAGAGAGCACAAGCAGGGGAAGCAGCAAGCAGAGGGAGAGGGAGAGGGAGACGCAGGCTCCCCGCTGAGCAGGAAGCCTGATGCGGGGCTCTATCCCAGGACCCTGGGATCATGACCTGAGCCAAAGGCAGCCGCTTAATCGACTGAACCACCCAGGTGCCCCTAAGTACTCTTTTTAAACAATATTTTGATGCAATGATAACAGTAATTTTTATCTAAGTTTAATTTTATAATTTCATTTTTAAAAATACTCACTTAAATGTATATTACCTTGTAATTGGTGTTCTTTAAAATGTCAGCTTCACAAGATCGTTCACAATCTAGATAACTGCATATGGTCTGCTTCATTATATTATTTTCTGTTGTCTTGATAAAATCATTAAGAAGATCCTAGATTTTAAAAATTAAAAAAATCTCATGAATTATTAGTAACAAGACAGCAACACTTCCAATATTTTACCTTAAATAATAAGTCCATTTTATTATCTCCCTTTTTGAAGGCATTGTATGTTTTTTAAAATAAAAAAACAGTAATAGAACATATTTTCCTCATTCAAAGTAAACAATATATGGGAAGGCCCTAAATTAGAAATACTGGGTTCATTACTGAACATAAACATGGAGAAAGGAAAAAAGTCTATGTCTGAAGCTGTACCTCTCTTCACCATCCCAACTCATAACACCTGGCATGTTCCTATTAAAAACTACTTCCTATTAAAAACTATCTATCATTTACACACACACACACACACACACACACACACAGATCACTGGGAGCCCAGGAGGATCTGCTACAACTGGTCCCCAGAACACCATATTGACAGTGGGATTCCTGGAGTGGTGCAATATGCCACTCACTGCCATTATGGATAGAAGTAGCATACAGAAATATGCTTCCAATGTTCAGAGTTATAACTTGGAATGCAATTTCCTATTTTCAAATGCTGATTAAATGTAGGTGAAACACATTATGAAGTCTATGTTAAGCAGGTCCTTAGACCAGGTCCTTAAAACTTATCCCTTAGAAAGAGAGTATTACAAGATTTCAAATAGTAGTATTTCTAATATACTGAGGATATACAACATGACAAATAAGCTCCTATAGACTGTTTGATAAATCTAGTCACCATTCATGACATTCCTTTGATGGCATTCAGAATTTTAAATTGATGGCTGATACTGAAGAATAAAGATGTTTTGACCAAGTCAACTAAAATGTTTTAAATATCAAGATAAGAGAGAAAGGCATTTAAGGACCTGTCATATGAAGGTAGTATATCCTGTCAGCATAGCCAATAGCCAAGTAGAAATGCGGAAAAAAAGAAATGGGCTCACAGAATGTATATAACTACTGCAGTTTCACAGATCTCAAACTTAATAGTTCAACATTGATCTACTGACACTCCCACCAAATATATGCCACATATATACATAAGCCTATACGCAGCTATATGAGAATATATATCTGTGTTCTCCATTTTCTCTACCCCGCCCCTTGTCTTCTTTAGAACACTAACTACAATTTGTAACTACTTTTAGGTTTTTTTTTTCCTTTTTTAATCCTTTTGTTCCTTGTTCTTTACTCCTTTATCTCTTGCCTCTAGTTTTTGGCATTCATTCATTCAACATATTTACTGAGTGCCTTTTATAAGCCAGGTTGTTATGGAAGTTAAGGGATGTTATGGATGTTAAGGAGACAGCAGTAAACTTAGCAGGTCCATGGGACTTTCACCAATCTCATCTACCACTATCTCTTCAGCTTCAAGCCAGAAATCTTAAAGTCATCTATGGCATAATGGATTCCATCACCCTTTGCATGCAATACATCATCAAGTAATTGTTGCGTCTTTTCCCAAAATACATTGCAAATTCTTCAATTTCTATCTCCATTGCTAACACTCTGTTTTACCTAGATTACTAGCTGTAATAGCTGTCTAACTGGTGCCCCTCTTCCCCACTTACTCTGCTCCAAGGTATTCTCTATACAGAAGCAAAAAATGTTAGTTCCTTGCTTAAAACCCTTCAATGGCTTCCCACTGTACCTAAAATAAAGTCTTAACCCTTACTATGGACGGACTGCAAGGTTCTGCAGAACGTGCAGAATCTAAATTCAGTATATTTAGCCATCTCTTTGAATTCATCTCTAGCCTTGCTCATTATAAAATTCATATGGTTTTATTTTTTCAGTTCTTCAAACTTGTGTGTCAAGGCCTACCAGCCACAACAGGGTCACTGAAGCATTCTGCCCTACCAGACATTAAACCTTTATTGGATTTTAAAGAAGTACAGGGAGGGAGGGCTGGTGGAAAGTCCAAAGCAGCTGGAATGGTGGGCTAGGTGCCCAAGAAACCCATGGCAGCAACTATTTTTGAAAAAGTACATAAATATTTTAACATTATAACAATTAATATGATAGCACCAGTGTGCACTGGTTGATTATCAGGCCTATGCAGAAAATTAAAGTTGAGAAAAATCTCCTAGAAAATAAAACAAAAAGATAAAATGTAATAAACAGGGAAAAAAAAACAAGAAAATCATAGATTTAGTCAAAGATATCAAGTATCTGAGTAACAAACATTTCATAAATAAAATGAAAAAATCATCTAATAAATTTTTTAAATGTCCCAGAACATTTTCAAAACATAAACTCAGAACACTAGGGAACACAGAATATCCTAAAAACTCCCAGAAAGAAAAAAAATAAAACAGGTTACAAGCAAAAGATTGAGAATCAGAACATTAGATTTCTCAAAAGTAATACTGGAAGCAAGGAGATAACAGAAACACTCTGAAAATATGAAGGAAAATAATTTACAACCTACAATTCTATGCCCAGGCAAGACATAAATAAAGTGTGCAAAAAATAAATTATTTTGAAGACTTGAAAGGTCTCAAAAAATTTACCTCCCAGTCATACCCTTTTCTAAGAAGCTGCTGAATGAGTTGTAACACCAAAACAAGGGGTAAACCTTAAAAGAGAAAAACTTGAGATCTAAGAAACAGAGGACTCTACATAGAAATGAAGGATAATCCAAGGAATAAAAGAAAAACCTAAAGCAAATTTAATAAAAATGTATAACTATTGGTAGGATGGGGAAAGAGAAGTCTATGTGTAAAGGGGATGTATAAGAGAGCTAATAAACCCTCCTCATCTGCCACAGTGGGAAGTCAAAAGATAATATCTAAAATGGAGAAATATTATAAAAAGCAGTACACATCTTTTCAAAAGATATAGATATATCAAAGAAATATGCCTAGAGAGCTGGAAGAAGGTGTCTCTAGTTAGGGACTACAATTAGAGATGATGGACCACGGACTGTTAATGTTAAGTCTTTTAATATTATTTGACAAACTGTATACATGTATTATTTTGCTGGAAACAAAAATTCACTAAAAGTGTTTGGATAATAGAGAAAAAATATTTTAAAAGGAGGAGGAAAAAGAGAAAACTAAGACCAAGTAGGGACTGCTTTAGGCAAGCACAAAAGTTTAATGTTAAAAATAATATATAAAATCATTAAGTCTAGGTTTAAAGTTATGTGATTTTCCTGACAAATGCCAAAAAGTGTTTGCTTATTCTACTGATTACTGAGAGAGCTATATTAAAAGAGAGTACTCTGTGATTGAAGAGTTTTCTATCTCTCCTTCTAGTGTTACCAGTTTTTGTCCCATATATTTTGAAGCTATATTTTTGGGTTTATACAATTTGAGTTGCTATAGCTTCCAAGAAAACTGAATTTTGTATTTTTTCAAAACATCCGCTTTGAGGAATGGATTTGGCTTTCAACTCAGCCAAAATATAAGGATCTAGAAAGGTTTAAAGTAAAAGTCTGGAAACACTAAGAGAAAGCCACTTTAGCTATTTTCATACTAAACAAATTAAAAAGTTACTTTAATATGGCTTAAAAGATGGATAAAAATTACCCCAAAATTGAGAATACCAAGGTGTGAGGAAATGGAAACTCTCATACTTCATCTTAAGAATACAAACTGGTGGGGTGCCTGGTTGGCTCAGTCGGTTAAGCATCTGACTCTTGATTTCGGGTCTGGTCATGATCTCAGGGTCATGAGATCAAGCCCCGAGCCCCATGTGGGGCTCCTTGCTCAGTGCAAAGTCTGCTTGAGATTCTCTCCCTCTCCCTTTGCCCCTCCCCCAAGTCGCACGTGCACACACATGTGCCCTCTTTCTCCCTCTAAAAAAAAAAAAAAAAGAACACAAACTGGTACAAACTTTGAAAAGAAATATGAAGATAAATATCAACAACTTTACAAATGTGTAAAGACTTGATTCACAATTCCACCTTTAGAAATTTGTCCTATTGGAATTATGTGGGAAATGCACAAAGATCACTTTACATAATAGTGAAAAACTGGAATGTTTAGGATAAACTAAATGTTCAATAGCAGGAAACTGGTTACACAAATTAAAGCACAGTTATATGATGGACCATGAAAAAAAAAATCATACTGTACAATAATCTAACTACTGGGAAATTCACAGTATGTATTTCCAAACTACACATCAATGTGTATAACATCATTCCAATTTACTAAAAATAAAAGGTACAAGTGTTTATACATGTGTGTCTGGAAAGACAAATGAAAATACTAATAGTTTCTCCATTTGAAGAAATATGGATGATTTTATCTTTGAGCACTTTTATATCTTTCAAGTTTTCTGAAATAAGTTTTTCAAGTTATCTTAGTGCTTTTTAAATTTAAATCAACAACAAAATAATAATATAATTAGAAAACAGAATTAACTATTACATTTGGCTCTAGCCATGTGAAGTACTGGACTAGTATAGCTTTTAATCTTCTTGTTTGTAAATACTAACAAATCTTGTTATTTGCTAACCCAGCCACCTCACTTCTCTCCATGCTGAATCTTACATTCTGCACTAGGTAATGGAATCAATGTTGTTTCTTATATAAAAAGCTAATTTCCAACAAAAGAATGTGCTTGCTAAAGAATATGACAAAGTTAGCATAGACCACACTTCACCAAAAATGATTCTGATTAGTCACAGATGAAATGTTCTTAAACAATTTCTTACTTTAAAAGTTGTAGGTAAATCTTCATCTTCTGTAGGATCTATGTCAAACCAATGATCATTTGTATCTCCTATTTCTTGTAAGCTTTTATGAAACTCTAGCAGTCCTCCATTATATCTGCAAGGCATTTTAAAATAAGGTTAGTTTGAATGGGACTCTCTAGATAGTTTACCAGTAAGACAATAAGCAACCCCTTTTTTTTTCTTTGTGGTAAGTAGGGTGGTGATAACCTCTGACATGCTATAGAAATACAAATGCTAGGACTCTCACCTGTGGTAGATTGGGATGAAATACAGGTGGAAGGGGAGGCAATAGATTATGTAGTAGCTCAAGCTTGAACAGTATGGGGGCCATGGTAATTAAAGGGACTGTAGAGTTGGTTGGCTTTTGTCTACTGTCTTGGAAGCCTTGAAGAAAGAGAATGACAGGCACAGGTCAGCCAACTGTTGACTCAGGGCACACTGTGAAAGACAGAGGACTCTATGGCAGCATTTAAAAAGACTCTCATCTCCTACAGTCATAAAGATAATCTGTACTGAAAAATCAGGCCAGATTTAATCACAAAGTGAAACAAACTGCAAAGAGACCAAAAGCACCTCCTTGAGAGGACTATTACCAACTCAGGACACTCTGTGAAAGCTAAAAGGTCTCTATGGTAACATTTAAAAAAACCTTTATCAAGACTAACCTTGTAAGGGCAGACTGTGCTGAAAATGAGGCCCAGTATTTAATCACAAGGGTAGAACAGCAAAGACTAAAAGCACTGCCTCAGCAGGATTGTTATGCTAAAATCAGGGCTTTGATAGGGAACGAGTAGACTCTGAGATCTGAAATGGGGACATTTAAATGAAACCTCTAAATTGTCCTGAACCCTCTGGCTGACAAGGACCCCCTTTTTTTGCTAGAGGAGTACGGAATCCCTTTACTGACCAAGCCAAAATATCATCTAAGGTGCATATATCAAAAGATGATGCCCTTCCTTCTCAAGATCCTCTCCTATCTCTTCTCATTGCTCACAGACTAGTAACTCTAGGATCAGGTATAAGCAGAGCCCAAGTGGGAAAATAGAGTCCCTGCCCCTAAAGGTAAAGCTGATTCACCACAAGAATTGCAGAACTTGACCAGTATATACTGGCAGAAACACATGTGGGAGTGGATCTTAAGAGTGCCGAACCAATACACAGACACAGTTGCATAGGGAAGTGTATGTTGATATGGGATGATTCCTCCATACTTCAAGATTTACTTTCCTAGCAAGGACACCTGAGCCACCTGAGCCAACATGCTGCTGAGAAGGCTACTTCAAGCTTGGATACAACGATGGCTTACGGTAATTGAGGTGGAGATGCTGGAAATTTTTTGGCAGGGCATTGAAGAAAGCTCAGGGAGATAAGGATGTTAGAATGGACTTCCTACACAAGACCAAAGAAGCCACCACTAGACAAGGTTCCCTGGAAAGGCCCAGAAGACACTCCATCCATTAGAGCAGTTAAGAAATACAAAGTGAGAAAGGCACCAGTGTCTTTGAGCAGCTCAGTGGTGACTGTTCTCTGTAGGCCAGGGATGAAAGTAAATGATGCTATCATGTGACTGGGCTTTCTGGTATCAGTGATATAGAAAACAGATTCTCTCCAATGCCCAACGGTAAAGAGACTAAAGAGTAGTTCACACATCTGAGGGAAGGACAGCAGTATACATTCTTTGTCTTGTCTCACAACTATGTGAATTCTATGGTATAGACTAAAGAGATTCTGACCATCCTGAAATTCTGCAAAACATCACACTGGCCCACTATATTGATGACATCATGCTAGTAAGTGGGAAGCAGGAAGTCTTCTGGGTAAAACAAGTAAAAAACAAGCATGCCAGAGGATAGAAGATAAACCTTACAAGAGAATCAGGTAACTCCCACAGAGGTGACTCTTAGGAATCCCATGGTTGGGCCCAGCAATAATCCTGCATAAGGATTGGCACAGCTGCCAAATTCATCTTTCAAAAGTCTCAGCCACACATGATTTCCTCAGGAAGACTTCTGATTCCCAGAACTGGACTGGGTATCCAGTGAAGACTATTTAATTATTTATTGCATTTTCTTTCATAGCTCTTTATATTTCATAATTATTTGTATAACTGATTATTTGATTAAGGTCTATAACCTTCACTATACTACCAGTTACATGAAGACAGGAACTGTCTATTTTGCAAACTATCATATCCCCAACACTTAGCACACATAGTCTCTAGAATATACTACATTCTTAGCAAATAAAATCAATAAATTATACTACAAAAGCTAAGGATCTCCATATAGGAAGTAAACAGATAATCTGCACAATTTCACTAAATGTGTAATCCCCAATATTTCCCAAACCCAGCACCTGGACCCTTTCAGTGCTTTAGAAGCTCATTTATACCTTAAACATCTATTCCCACTGGTGACAGTTATTAATAACTATAACCATCATTGATTTATTAAACCTAGCATTTTTGTGTTCTGAGTGCTTAATCATCCTTATAAGGTAGGCACTATTATTAGTTCCATTTTACAGGTAAGAAAAAATAAGGCTGAGTAACATTACATTTCTCAGGGTCATAGATTGGGTACATGGCAGAAAATGTATTTAAACCCAGGTCTGTCAGACTCCAAAGCCTATGTTCCTCATGTCTTTGCTACACTGCCTTTTATTGCCATGACCTATTAAGTTTGATATTTAAATATTCTCAAATACATGAAATAAATTATAACCTATAGGAACAGGTGAAGAAGAACCAGTAGAGCACAAATGTCATGATATCTGGTATACTATAAAAACTTTATCCCATTTCACAATGCTAGAAGTTGAAAGGCAAGATCTGCCCGTTTATTAAAATCCTTACCTCTTCTGAGCACAACGAAGCAAACCACGTCCAAAATAAACTAAAGACATAAAGTTCTCACAAATTTCATTCTCTTGGATCACCATCTTCATCACTAGAAATTTATTCTCTGCTTCTGTGTAATCCTGTAGTAACATAAAACTAGGTTTGGCTGATATAAAAAGCATTTGTTTTCTTTTACAATAATTATTTTCCAAACTGGAGAAGTCGGAGCAGCTTTCATACTGATACAGTCATGTAGTCATTTATTCACATCTCTAACCCTAGCATCTGTGATCACACAGATAATGTACTCAGTGATTAAAATACTTATTTACAAAAGAACTTTGATCTTCTTTACCCAACGTTTCAAAATGAACATTTAGAGAATTTCTAAAATCAACCTTTTGTCAAAATGAAGTCAGTGAGTTTAAGAAGATTTACAAAGGACAAATAACACATGCTACATACCTCTTTCTTTCCTCTTTCAGTAAGTGCTACTCCATACAAAAACAGTAATGTCAAATAATAACCAATATTAATCTGATGTGCCTAAAAGAAAAAAAAATATTTGGTTATTTAGACTAAGCTACTTTTCAGTATACCAAGCTTAATTAAATATCGTAGGCCTATCAAAAAAAAAAAGAAATCTTACCATTTGCTACAACACGGATGGAACTAGAGGGTATTATGCTAAGTGAAATAAGTCAATCAGAGAAAGGTAATAGTCATATGATTTCACTCATATGTGGAATTTAAGAAACAAGACAGAGAATCATAGGGGAAGGGAGGGAAAAAGAAAAGACAAAATCAGAGAGGGAGACAAACCATAAGAGACTCTTAACTATAGGAAACAGACTGAAGGTTGTTGGAGCGGAGGTGGGTGGGGGGAAGGGGTAACTGGGTGATGGGCATTAAGGAGGGCACTTGATGTAATGAGCACTGGGTGTTATATGCAACTGATTAATCACTGACCTCTACTTCTGAAACTAATAATACACTATATGTTAATTAATTGAATAAAAAAATAAATATCTTAAGCCTACTTAGTAATTATTAAAAATAGTAAAAATTATCATTATATTGTCAATCATCTAGTAAGAACAACAGCAAGTACATTTTAGATGTATTTGACAATTCGACCCTGAAGAAAAAGGATAGTTGATAATCTCGAAATAAAACATTAGTTTGATTAAAGAAAATGGACGCCATCAGGATTTATTGTCTCCTTCCCCCTCCCACCCCCACACCACATGCTACAAATGGCTAAGATCTCCATACAGATGCAGTAATGAGTACAACTATATTCTGAGTACCCTGAGTCCTTCTGAATATGGGGGTGGGTCTTGGAGACTCCAGACCCAACACCCACTGTACGAATGCCCACTTCCTGGTTTTGATAACATAAATCGTTATGTAACCTGTAACTACTGAGGGAAACTAAATGAAGGGTATGCCAAGACCTCTCTGCACTTTTGTATTCTACAGCTATATTTTTGCAACTTCTGTGCATCTAAAATTACCTCAAATAAAAAGTTTAAAAATTGGGGTGCCTGGGTGGCTCAGCTGGTTAAGCGACTGCCTTCGGCTCAGGTCATGATCCTGGAGTCCTGGGATCGAGTCCCACATCGGACTCTCTGCTCAGCAGGGAGTCTGCTTCTCCCTCTGACCCTCTTCTCTCTCGTGCTCTCTATTTCTCATTCTCTCTCTCTCAAATGAATAAATAAAATCTTTAAAAAAAAAAAGTTTAAAAATTGTCCATGAAGAAAAATATTATGCATTCTGTTCATAAGCTCTCTACTAACTGAAAATCATAACCATATCTTTTGTCACATTAACTTTTTACAATGAGACTGTCCCATACTATAAACAAGATTTTTTTTCAAGTACACAGGGATGATAAGCATCTACAGGATATAAGTTTTTTTCTTTACTGATCTAACTGTATTCTCTTACCTAGCCGAGTTCTCATGGCCAACAGTACACATTTATGTGGTAACTGGCTGGAGTTAGAAGTTTGGCTTCAAATTGATCTCAGTGGAAATAGACATGTGTGTTTGCTCTCAATGAACCCATGTAACATCTAACTGGTTTCCATCTTAAAATTCCCATCTTTGCAGAGATGGTAAAATGCAGTTCACAGAATAGACACTTAAGCCAAGACTATATGGGTTTGTATCCTGACTCCACTACTTACTACCTGATGAATTAAGCAAGTTGTTTAATCTCTATGCTTCAGTTTCAAATCTATAAAATGGGAATAATGAGGTGGGGTGCTTTCGAAGAGTAAATGAGCTAATCCTTACAAAACGTGTCTGTCATATAGCAAACATTAAATAAGTGTAAACTATTACTTTGTAACTTAAAAAAAAACTGGCTTCATAAATAATATGACTGAGCCTTTGGCTCAGACAACCCTAAAAAGAACACTTTGAGGATAAAATGTGGAATTGTGGTAATGCTACAATTACAAGTACAACGTAAAGAACTCAGGAATTTAGAGATGTAAGCAGTACATTTCTAACCAATATGCTCTGCCCTTTCCTTCCCACCTTCTCCCCACCCCCCATAGCAGGGATTATTCCAAGTATTGGAACTAAATGGATATAGAGATATTATTGGCAACTGTCCCCTGCCCTCACGCCACCTCCTACAACGAAGTTGCCCCACCTATCCTCGGCAGTCTTGAGGAACAGGGAGGGCCATTTGGATACAGCAGTAGGCTGCTCTGATCATGACAATTCCAATTCTGCTCAACAATGCTACCAAGAGAGGGATCTCCTCCATTTCCTTATGTTAAGACTCATCTTTGAAGTAATGCCTAAATACAGTAGGCTAAGCAATCAGCATCTGTTAATGTTGATTTTATATTCATTTATTTTACTGCTTGGCAACCTGGTCAGTGGGAGAAACAGCAGATCTTTAGCATCCCAGGAGTTTTTGGAAATACTCGTTAATGCAAACTCCCTTTTGTTACCTCTTTTGACTCCATGTAGAACTCCTTTAGGGTGGTATATATCACACTTAGAACCCTCATCCTGAGAGTCCTAAACAAAGATGATTTCTCCACTTCCTTGTACATTTTAGGAATTTGGTGTCTTTGGCTACCTTAGTTGGTACCTAGGTAGTCCTTTCTTGAAGATAACTCTAATCCATCTTCTATATGCGTGTGAAACTTAGTTTACTTTACAAATCCAAAGCATTCAAAGAACTGATTTTTTTCCTTATACTGTCTATACTACTGGTTCTGATTTTTTATGCCAGTTTTACTTTTCCTCAGATTTTCTATTTATTTCTAAAATATCATTTGATACTGAACAGATTAAGCATATCTTATCGATTTTATCTTGCATGAGTACTCATTAACAGATAACAGAAGTTCCAATTTTTACAAATATAGAAATATCAGGAGGTGATTAATAACTAGGAGGAAAGGAAGGAGTAATTTCTGAAGTTTATAACTCTCTGTTTCAAATGGGAAAGCCCGTGTTTACTAGTTCATTTAAGATGAACAATTTTATGGTTGGGAAGGGGACAAGATTTGGCTCATTACAGAGATGCAGTCATAAAGTACAAGACACAGGAAGGAAATAAATTTATGCATACCTTTTTTCCAGAGGTAAAAGGAAAATACAAATTGGTCTATACCTTGAAACAAGGATTGCACTGGCTACCCTCTCATTGGAAAATGTTGTCCAAGTCCATTATTTCAAACTTTCAAAAGAAAACACTTACAGTATAATTAGTAGCCTGAATGTTCCTAAGCGCTGCTTCCAGCTGTGTTATCAAGAAACGTAAAGTCAGAACAGGAACAGTTTCCTCCCCATTCTGGCTGTTAGCTGCAACTTCTCTCTGTGGAAATAATTTGGTCAAAAATTTCTTTAACTTAAAGCAAATATCTACGTACATTTTTATTATACAAGTAATACACGCTAGTCGTAGAAAATCTGGAAATGATTTTTTAAAACTCCACACTACCGGGGCACCTCTGTGGCTCAGCTGTTTGAGCATCCAACTTTTGATTTCTGCTCAGGTCATGATCTCAGGGATTGTGGGATTAAGCCCCAAGTCAGGCTCCTCACTCAGCAGGCAGTCTGCTTCTCTCCCTCTCCCTTTCCCCCTCCCCACTTTCTCTCTAAAATAAATAATCAAATAAATAAAAATAAAAATCTACACCACCCAGATACAACTGTTCTCTCATTTGTTTGTTTTTAAGTAGCCTGACAAATCTTCTTTGTAACTATTTCCTCAAAATACTTAAACAGCATTCCTATGCCTGCCAAGAGTTGGCCACATCCACTCCTACTTTAAAGGAAAGTGGTAATCCCAGTTTATTCTCATACCTTCTGTTCTCTAAGCATGGCTAAAATTTTCCTTCCAGCCCTGACCCTGTAAGAAAGCTGGCTTAATTCCAACACCAGGGCAAGGCATCTTAAGCTGCAATCTGACTGGAACAAAACTAATATAGGATTTATTATATACCATACTTTGTTATTTATATGGATGAAATGAAAAGGAGGACTATGTCTTATCTTTGTGTCCATTTCTCAGTGCCTTGTACCTACAAGTGCTTCGCTTAAATTCCATTATGTGTTTAACAATGTATTATCTGTGTGGAAAGTTTAACCTACACTTTCTTAACATGGTTTCTTATATACAATACTTTTTCTCCTAGATAGCTAGATACTTTGTCTCCCCAGCACTCAATTAATGAACCTCTTCTCCATCAACACATACATTCCCTAAAGTAATCCACTGTCATGTTTTTAAATAATGTTTTTAAATAATGTCTACTTGGACAGTTTCCAAGTTTGTTTTTCCAGCTCAGAACTATCACTTGAATTCCAGACTCACTTATCCAACTAGTTACTCAACAGTAACTCTTGAATTTGAGTAAGCGTATATAACCTAACACTGAAGTTCCACCTCCTTTAGAACTAAAAAAGCTGGAGAAGATATAAAAACTGTTTTTTGAAAGCAACAGAAAGCTACCAAGGCACTGAAAATCTCTGGGGCCAACATTCAGAGAGAAGGAAAGCCTAGAGACATGAGATTGACTTTTGGAGCCACTTTTCTCCTTAAGGCAATTGCCATTTTCAGCTGTGGCTGAGAAGCTGGGATGCTAAACAGTTTTTAGCCAACTTACAAAGCTGGGGGAAAAAACAGAATGCATTACCTATCAAGGATGAGGGAACCTGGAAAACACTTCATCCTTTTGTTGGGACCTTGAAGAAATATACCCTTAGAGTAAGAGTGTCAGTTTTGGTTCCAGCTTGAATGCAAGTAGTTTATTTGGGAAGTGCAGAGAACAATGGTAGGGGAATAGAGATGTGATACAAGGAAGGGAAAACAGGCTTTAAATTGATAGGTATGTTATTTATTTATTTTTTTTTTAAGAGAGGGAAGTGGGGGTAGGGGGGAAAGGAAGAGAGAATCTTAACCAGGCTCCATGCCCATCGTGGAGCCTGATACAGGGCTCAATTTCACAACCCTGAGATCATGACCTGAGTCGAAATCCTGAGTCAGACACTTAACTGAGTCATCCAGGTGCCCCACAGGGTGTGTTATTTAGTTATTCACAATGGGCAGCTGGGGTTACACAACAGAGAATCTCAGTAAAACAGTGAAAAACACAAGCCTCAGTATTATTCAACTCCAAGGGAGAGAAAACTGGGATATTTGCAGAACAACTCCCAAGGCTTATTGACTGAGTGGTGATGGGTGATGCAGGAGTATTAATTCCTTGGGACTTCCAAACTGCCATGAGAAGTACAGGTCTTCTGTAGTTCCGGGGGGGGGGGGAGAAAGCCTTAAGGCATAGAGATATAGACATTGAAAACTGGAAATTGCCCAGAGCATACTGAAATAAGAGGCCAAGGGGCCAAGGGTTATGTGCAGGGCACTGATATTATCTACTACAAAAGGTAAAGCATAAATAGACCCTTCTTCACAAAACAGAAGCTTAGAATCACCTCAATCCCAGGTTGAATTAAGTGATCTGCCAGAAAAGCACATTACTAAGCAAAGACTTTGTCCAGTTAAGGAAGGTTACTCTAAACCAACTCAGGCAGCCACTGGCAAGTAGCAGAATTCTCTATTATCCTTTAGATGACTATGGAATTAATTTTGATGTTTTCATGTTCATTCATGATTTGGGTTATCTTTGCCTTTTTAAGATTCTTACCAGGAATTTATCAATTTTAAAAAACAAGTTTTGGCTTTATTGACTTTCTCTATTTTATTTTCTTATTCTATTTCAATAGACAGATATCTTTATTACTTCCTTCTTTTGACTTTTTTAATTTGCTGTTCTTCCATTAATCTCCTGAACTTTATGTTTAAATGACTGATATTCAAATTTGCTTCTTTTTCTAATATTTGCATTTCAAGCTATAAATATTTTTTGAAGCACATATTTTACTTACAACACAAGCTTTGATATGTATTTTTTATTCAGTTCAAAAATTTATCTAATTTCCATTGTGATTTCTTTTCTTACCCATGGGTATACCTAGAGGTACATCTTAAGAACAGTGATTTTTTAAGTTTACCTTTCTGTATTGATTTCTAGTGGTTAGAGAACACGCTCTATATGTTATGATTCTTTGAAATTTGATGAGACTTGCTTTGTGACTAGCACATGGTAAATTTTTGTAAATGTTCTGTGTGCACTTAAAAAGAATATATATTCTGCCACTGTTGGGTGTAGTGTTTTGTGTTTGTATGTGTATGTGAATTAGATCAAGTTTGCTACGGTTCCACTAATTTTGTGTCCATGTTGTATCACTTATTAAGAGATCATGTTAAAATTTCCTACTGGGATTCTTAATTTGTCCAATTCCCCTTTAGTATTATCAATGTTGTCATCTTATACATAACAGTTCTGTATGCATTTGGGTTGACTTCTGGAATTTCTCTTCTATTTTCTAGACTTGTCCATAGAGTCAATAGCAAGTAATACAATCTTGTAGTTATGAGAGCTTCATAGTAAGTTTTAATATCTAAGTGGGCAAATTCCCACCCTTCTACCCTACACTTCTCTTTCATAATTTTCTTGGCTAGTCTTCCTTTTATTTCCCATCTAAACTTTAGGATTAGCTTTCAGTAATAACAACCCCAAAAAACCCTTCTGTCAACTTTTTGATGTGTGATATTTACAAATTTTAATTTAGGGAAAATTGACAGCTTTATCACACTGTATCTTCCTACGTGTATTGCTTTCTATTTGGTCTTCTTTTCTTACCTTTATTAGAGTTTTAGAAATCTTCATTTACAGTTTCAATATAGAGTACTGATTTCTAAACTTAATGTGAAGAAAATCAGTGTGTAGATACTTGCTAAAATGCAGACTCCCAGACCTACCTCCAGAGATTTTGATTCTTTAGGACTAATATGGAGTTCAGACAGTCTCATGTAGGTGGCCTAGGAAAACTTTGAGAAACACTAGTATATAGCTTGTATATTTCTTATGTTTTCTCCTAGGTATTTTACTTTTTTGGTTGCTAACATTCTTCTTTCATTTTTACCTTCTAATTGGCTATTGTTTGCATATAGAAAGGCTACTGATTTCTATTTCTTGTTGTTGTTGTTTCTGGGTAATTTCCAAAAGATAGGAGGGAAATAGTGGCATTATTCCACAGTTTCAAACCAGAATTCATACTGGTAAATTATCTCAGTTAAGGTTATAATTGTATGTAAAGTTTCTGGATATTTTTAGAGTTTGTTTGAATTTTTAATCATAACCTATGGTGTTTTGCCCCCAACTAAAGGCTACAAAGAAATGAGCAGAACATTTTCTTTAACTTTGAAAAACTCCATTCATTTAAGAACTGATACCCATCTTGTGCTGAAAGTTTCATAAATTATTACAAAAAAAAAACTACTTCCAAGATAGAAATCTACAATATATTCTCTAGAGTATTTATTTTACTCATAAATAAACAAGCTTTGGACATTGTTTTTAGCTTACATTTTTAAAAAATTTGTCAACATTTTACAAATTAGAAAAACCAAAAGCAATCCCCTGTCCCAGGGTGGAATGTTATGGGTTATTAATAGAATAAGAATAAACACTAGACCTTATAGTCAATGGTGGCTTACTAGCTACTAACCCACATTACCACCATTATTCTTCAAAGACTAGCACCAACCAACTCTATTTAATAGAAGTCTACAGTCAAAGCTGACACCAGAGCCCTTCACAAAAAGTAAGATGGAGATTTCAAGACTTTAGCTGCACTGTTGTGGGAAGGAAGGGAGGGAGGGGGGAAAAGAGGGAAAGAGTCACTGTGAAATGATAAGAAATATATACATATATACTCGTTCCTAGTTCCTGGTAATATTTGGTCTTTGATCCTGGTTCCTGACATAGGAGTTCCTAAAACCCCTGGAATTTCTTGGGTGATAGGAGTATCTTTTGTTCTAATGAGGTGACCCTCAGTAGGCCCCCGGATAGCGGCTGGTCAGCAGAAACACCAAGCCATGATTAGAAGCTTGGAGCTTTTAGCACTATCTCCCATTCCTAGAGGGGCTGGGCATTTAATTAATTATTGATCATGCTTATATGATGAAGCCTCCATAAAAATCCTTCAAGTATGGGGTTCAGAGAACTTCCAACTTAGTGAACACATCCAAATGCCAGGGCAGTGGCACACCCCAACTCCACAGAGACAGCTGCTTCTATATTTGGGACCCTTCCAGACCTTGCCCTATGTATCTCTTCATTTGGCTATTTTTTAAATCCTTTATCATAGCCTTTATTATGTAATAAATTGGTAAATATTAAGTAAGTGTTTCCTGGAGCTCTGTGAGCTATACTAGCAAATTACTGAACCCAAGAAGGGGTCATGAGAACCTCAATCCATAGCCAGCTGGTGACAAGTATCAGGGACAATACTGTGACTGTGTGTCTGAAGTCAGAGCAGATTTGTGGGACTGAGCCCTTAACTTATTAGATCTGATACTAACTCTAGGTAGACAGTATCAGAATTGAATTGACTTGCTGGATACCCAGTTAGTGTAGGAGAATTGGTTGATGTGGGAATAAATCTACACATCTAATGTCAGAAGTACCATCAGTGTAGTAGTAGTAGTGTGAGAGTAAAGGAACATAGTATGTTTTCTCTGGACAGTCACAGACAAAGAGCTGTACTTCTGCCCCAAAGAACAAATTATAATCTTACCTGCATAATTTGGAAGGAAAAATTTTCTTGTAAGAACTTCTTAACGTGAGGGACCACACCTTTTGGTAGAGTATTAATTGCATTCAATAATTTCTTCACTTCCAATAGTAAGTTAACAGGCACAAGATCAGTAGGTGTGTCCTTTTCCTGTTTACCGTAGAAGACAATATTTATTAAAAATTTACACAATTTACATATTTACATATTCTTATTACTCTAATATTAAGACCAGCCAAAATATTAAAAAAAAAAAGAACAGAGTGGGGCGCCTGGGTGGGTCAGTTGGTTAAGTGTCCAACTCTTGATCTCAGCTCGGGTCTTGATCTCAAGGTCAGGAGTTTAAAGTCCCACATTGGGTATCATGCTGGGTGTGGAGCCTACTTTAAAAAAAAACAAAAACAAAGTGCCTTTATAGCCTTTATATACTATATGTAGATAACTGTGACAGAGCGATAGAAAATCCAAGTAAGAATAAGACATTCTCGGGTGCCTGGGTGGCTCAGATGGTTAGGTGTTTGTCTTCGGCTCAGGTCATGATATCCAGGTCCTGGGATCGATTCCCACATTAGGCTCCCGGCTGGCTCAGCGGGGAGTCTGCTTCTCCCTCTCCCTCTGCCTCTCCCCCTTGTGTGTTCTTTGTCTCTCTTACTCAAATGAATAAATAAAATCTTTAAAAAAAATTTTTTTTAATTAAAAAAAAATAAGACGTTCTCTCTGCTTTAAAAGAACTTAAAATATAGCAGGAAATTTAAGACCAAAACTCAGGAAGCTTTAATATACAGAAGGCCATCATAAATTCATTTGGAAGTTATAAATTAAATATTCTAAAATAGGGATAATTATACCATTTTTTAATAAGGTAGTGGGATGGGAAATATCTACAATTTAAGGCTTAAATGTGAATTACGGCTCAAAAAATGGTTGCCCTTGTGAAATACACAGAATGCACTGCATTGATCCACTTAAGGCATAAAAATGCTAAGTTTAAAATATTACATAGATTAGTCTACATAATAATATGAAAGCCAGATCTAAGAGTACTTTTTACATATGTGACTGATGCTTTAGTTACTAAACACACAGCATACTGAAAATAAATAGAACTGTAATAGTTTATAAACAAAGAAAACAGAATGACTCTTAATTCAGTCAGAGCTAAGTCATACTAATCTTGGGTCTACAGGAACCCATTCTTACTGACTTAATAAACCATCATTAATGGCTAATCAATAGCTATACAGTCAAGTCCTGCTGGATTGTTTATTAACATCAGTTGTGAGGAATGGGTGGGCAATGAAGAAGCACCTGGAACACATGGATGATGGACTTCCTTCAAACCTTAACAAGATACCACAGTTCCTATACCGTGTTTAAACTTTGGGAATATGAATATGTTGATGTTGACCTCTGAAAATCAGAAAAGACAGCTTTTTATTATGGAGGCCATGTAAAGCTTGAGTCATTGAAAATGCCCTGGGGGCAGGGAGGGGGTGACTCTTTGACCATTAGTCAGGTCTAACAGACTGCAATTACCCAGGAAAGTGACTAGGAATCAATAAAGTCCAAGGTAGGACTATCTGCCTACTCTCCCCTTCTGGGTTTGAGTCTTAAATTTTAAGATTCCTCCATCCCCATCAATACCCAACAAATAACCTCACATTTTATTACATTTCATTATATGAAAATTATATCCAAAAATGTAGGAAAGTGTTAATAGTTTGCTAAATCTCAGCAAAGGGTATATAAGTATTCATTTTATTATTCTTGAACTTTTCTGTAGGTTTGAAATTTTCCAAACGTTTACAAAAAACTAAGAAGCTTCCACAATGTACCTAGACAAACCCTTCAAAAGAATGACCACTGTCAGTAGTGCATACATTTCAAACTAACAGTCAGTTCTGCAGTCAAAAGTCACCACAAAATCATCTAATATTAATTACCAAATTGATACACAAGCAAGATTATGGTATGAATAAAAATTTTTAGTAGGATATACCATAAGCTTCATGCTTATTAAATATTTTTATCTTATTATAAACAGAATTTTTTAAGTTAGTGGTCATAAATTGTCTAAGTACAATTTTTTAAGCCAGTTATCAAAATATTTGATGCTCAATCCATTTCGCAAAATTAATTTAGCCTCTAAACCAAATTCAGGTCAAAGTTTTTACCTCCTTTGACTTTTTTATTTCCAATTCTATATTCAGAAATGTATTTTCTGGATCTAATCCTCCCTGGCTCAAGTGTACATCCCTATGTACATCTGCATATATTGTATTTTCTCTGCAACAATTTTTACAGTGATAACCTCAGGCAGGTGAATAATATGACTATTTTATGTTTATGTGTTTTCTCTCGTTATTAGATAACCTTTATAAAATTTATTAACAGTGGACATCAATAATCACATAAAACTATACGTAAGGTTAAAATTGCACTAAAAAAAACCCAAATAGCTCTTCATCCATCCTTCATTAAATATAAGCACATGTGATATTCATATATGTGTGTATATATATTTTTTAAGCTACCATAAAATATATTGTCATTGGCAATATAAACCTTGTATTAATGCATACTTTATTCTCTTTCATTTTGAACTGGAATTTCTAACAGTAAAGATGATAAAAATAGGAAAGAGAATTTCAAAACAACTCTGAAATTTACTAAAAAAAATTCTGTGTGTGTGTTTTCTTCGTATGTGTATAGTTTTCATTTTGTTTGGATTTTGCCTTTAAAAGACAAGTAAGGGATTTCTTAAAATTGATTATTGTGATGTTTCTGGGCAAGTCAAATCAATCACCTACTAGTTTTAACTTAGAGTGAGAATTCGTGCTTATAATAACAGAAGTATCAATTCTCAGAGAGATTTAATTATGACCATAAATTTACTTATGAAGGAAGGAAAGTAGAGTCAACCTCCAAATTCTTAACAGATAAATAAACTGACTAGATTTAGAATTACATTGCATATATAATTACTAATTACTAATTAATTGACAATTAATGAAAATTAACTCTTCTCTTACCAGTTGGTCAGTAGATTTTTCTACCTTATTCTTGATTTCTTCCTTAGTCTGCTCCTCCACAGTTGGATCCCTACTTTAAATGAAAAAGAAAGGTGTATTCAGGGTATCCCCTTACAAAGAACACAAACTGTAGTAGTAAAGAATCTAACAAGTGAATTTGAAAGTTCAAAAAGTGTAAACAATGTGTTTTCAAATCAATACTGATAATAGCGGTAGGTATCATATATTTAGGAACTCAAAGGAAAAAAGGTATGCTCTGCCCTTACTGGATGGTGGTAAACAGAACAGCTGATATAAAAAACTTTTCTTGAACAGACGCACAATATACCAAAATCATGGGAAAAAATTAACTTTATAGCAATGTAAAGAAAAAAGGGTCTTAAAGAAAATATAAAGAAAAAAGGGTCTTAAAAAGGCTGGTGTTTTGTGTGTGTGCATGTACATGCGTTTATGAAGATAATAAAGGTTTGGAAAGGATCTATCTTATCCAGATCCTTTTATTTATTTATTTTTGTTTCAGGTTCCTGGCCTTACAGTTATCCAGTTTTCCAAAATGATTTTTTTAAATTGAGAGAGAATATCATATTTAAAAATTAACTATTTTTGTAAAAAGGAAAACTTGACAAGTTTTGCTTCTGACACTGGTTTGAAATGTGAACATATGCAGTGTTACATACAGAACTAAAAAAATTATTTATAAAATTGCTTTTGCCTACATACAGAACCATGATATAGGGCCCATAATATAAGAACCATAACATAGGATCATATAGATTTATATGATCTTTTCTTAACTCTATACAACAGCAGAGATAAAACTGAGGTGAGAAACTTATATCAATGGATTTACTCAGCACTGTACTTTATAAAAATTATCCTATCTTACTTCACATTTATGTATTCATTTCCTAGACAATCATTTATCATCCACTATGTGCCTACTGATTTTGTCAGGGGAAACTAGGACAGATAAATAGTATAGTAGTATCCACATAGTGAAAGTTTCAACAAAAGGTGATTTATACACACAAACAATATTTCACAAGATGGTTCTCAGTGCTCTCTAAAATGTCATGGCAAAAAAAACCCTCTTAACTGTCTTTTCATCCACTTCTAAGCCCCACTCCAAAAAGGAACACAAGGAACTTTCTTGTGTTGTCAAGGAACGAAAAATACCGCAGCAGTGTTCTGAAGCCTCTCCAGAGGTTTGTGGAAGAGTACAAAAAGTTCCCAAATGTACACCCTTCTTACTCACTCTATTTCATGATCATTCACTCCTCGACCCAACAGTTCTCAGTCCCAGATGCACGTTAAAATCACCTGTGAAGCTTCTGAACCATCCAGATGTCCAAACCCTACTTTAGAGCTTCTTATTCAAGTGTGGAACGTGGGCTGCTGTATTCACCATAGTTTCTCTAACAAATTTTGATATGTGAACTTAATTAATCCTCATTCCCTCCCCAACATTAAAATTGCTCTATTAAAGGTTACTAATGAAATCCTACTATTTGTTATTTCAACAGCTTTGTCTTAGTTCTTCATTCTACCTGGTCTTCCTGCATCATTTAACATTGCCCATCATACCATCCACCCTTCCTTGAAAACCTCTGCAATCTTTGCTGCTGCTGGTTCTCCTCCTAGCTCTCCACTTCTCAGTTTCTACCACTGGCTACACCTCTTCCTCTCATTCATCACATTCATTTATTATTTTAATAATATTTAATACAAACTAGGTACATTAATGGTATCAAACCATGCTCCTGGTATATTAGAATAGTAGGTACATCCACAGGCATCTATGGCAGTCACTTTATACATTAATTAAATTGATGTCCAGAGAGGTTATATAACTTGTTTTTAAGTTAAACACCTAGAAAGTAGCAAAGCTAGAACTAGACACAAGACTAGTATTTTTTCTTTTGCTATTTTGATACTTTTACCACCTATATGCTTTGTTCTGCTACTAAGAGCTGAAGTTTTGCTGTAACAATATATCCTGAAATATACATAGTATATATACTAATGTTCCATTTTTTTTAAAGGTTTATTTATCCATTTGAGAGAGAGAGAGAGGCAGGGGAGGGGGCAGAGGGAAAGAATCTCAAGCAGACTCCCCACCAAGCGTGGAGGCCGACACGGGGCTTGATCCTACAACCAATGAGCCGAAACCAAGAGTCAGACACTTAACTGACTGGGCCACCCAGGCGCCCCACTAATGTTCCATTTTTATCCCTCTCTTTTCTTACTACATTTTCTACTTAAGTCAATTTCATTTATGCCCATGTATAAACAAACCCTCCCAGATAGGGATCAGGCCCTTCTTATTCACTACTTAACCTCCAAGTCTCTATCCCAATATTGGACATAAAGTAGGCAATCAAATATTTATTGGATGAATTAATAAAAAAATAAGCCAACTTTCATGAATTCTAACAGCACCCATTCTAATAACCCCTGAATCTATATCTCCAGCCTTGCTTTCTGACAGTACTACTACAAATTTCTAACCATCTACTCAACAACTTCCACAACTTAAGATATATTACCAACACCTCAATTTCCTCATGTCCAAAACTGATTCATCATCTGTCCTCTCTTTCTCATGCACACATTAAACCGGTCTCCATTTTTGAGCCCATATTAGCTAATGGTAGATATCTCCTTCTGGTCATTAGAAACCTTTGAGTCATCTCTTTTTCTCTTTTGCCCCTTCCCTCATATTTAAGCAGTCATAGAATTCTGTTGATTCTACTTCTATAAATCCCTTCTGTTTTCTATTCCTACCATTGCAAGCCTTCATCAGCTTTTTCCTGAACTATTACTAGTGTTATATTTTGTTGTCTGTTCCTTCCCACCATCAAGAAGTAGTCTTTCCAAAATACAGTGTAAAATTTCCTTTCTCTTTTTAAAAGGTCATTGGTTCTGCCCAAAATAAAGTTAAACTCCTTAGAAGACAGTTGAAATCCTCCCAATCATTTATCTTAAGTACTTTTTCTTGCTGTTTCCTTCCATTTCTACATACATCAAAATGCTTATCCTTTAATGTTCAGTTTGAGTGTCATCTCGTGGAAACCCACTCAACCCCAGTCAATCATTATTGTTCCTTTCTACTAGAGCCATGGCATTATGCATGCACTTTGCCTAAAGATATAACTTTTTATATATCTTCCTACTACATTATAATTCTAACTACCCAAAATTTTATCTGTCTTTATTCTCTAAGTACCAAGGAGGTACTTTACATTATAAGCATTACAGTAAATGCTTATAAAATAAATTAATAGATCACATTAATCTATTTTGGTGAGAATGCCCACATGTAGCAAGCTGTAGCACATTTTTCACTTCTTAACTCTTTAGCCAGAGTGTGGTCCTTCAGAGAAATTTTCTGTAATTAGATTTCACCCACTAATCAAAGTTGCTAAATTATCTCCAAGCATAAGGGCATCTCAATCACACCAGCTTCCCAAAGTTATGTGGAAAGGACAAATATTGTGTCTTCAAGATGCAACAAATGTGGCTGGTTTTTGTCCAACCCATCCCTTACCTTGTAAAAAATTCTTCTGATAGAGAATCCATGCTCCACAATGTTGTTTTGCAAAAGTCTTATTCCAGTGCTTGCACTTTTACTACTGATGTTTAAAGCTGTAAGAAGAGTAGTATTTTTAGTGGGAAGGTAGAAGGATTACTTTCTTTTTCCTCACTGTAAAAATATACATGATCATTGAAGATAATTTTGAAATAGCTATAAAAGAAAATGAAAATTAGTTTCACCATCTAAAGATAAGTCACTGCCTACACTTTAATTTGTCTAAGCATATTTTACAAATTTATAATCATACTGAATAAACAATGTTCTAAACTACAGTTTTCACCACTGAACACTGTATCAAAAGCATTTTGTATGTGATGTTATACTCCTACTATGTATTCTCACTGGCTACACAACAATTGGTTGACTGGGGTTTCCTAGACCATTACCTTATAGATGGACATTTAGATTGTTTCCTATTTTTCCATTATAATTAGTTTTGTGATAAACTCCACTATCCATAAGGCTTTTCTATATTTATGATTATTCATTTACAAGAAATTCTCTGAAGTAGAATTTCTCAGTCAAAAGACACCAATATTTTAAGTCTCCGTGCATATTGCTAAATGGCTTCCCAAAAGGTTCGTACTAATTTATTTTCCACAGAGTATATGTGTTCCTGTTTCACACAATCTTCAATAACACTAATTGTTTTGTTTTCTTTTAGTCTAAAAGTAACATTTAGCCACTTTCCCCCAATAGATAGGATTCTGTATCTTCATAAAATAGGAAAGGTGGATGTATACTCTCTGGTTCAAATATCAGTGAATGTTGTGGATGTTTCCTCAAAGAAAAAAAAAACCTGCAGCAACACAAATGAAAACAAAAAGAATAGAGTGTCCATTAGTATATGTCTTTATTTATATAGCTCTCTACTTAACTATCCCAAGAACAACTCTTTTAAAATTAGTCACATTTACACCCTGATGTTTATAGCTACAATATACAATAGCCAAATTATGGAGCAGCCCAAGTGTCCATCCATAGATGAATGGATAAAGAAGATGTGGCATATATAAAATGGAATATTATTCAGCCGTAAAAGAGAATGAAATCTTGCCATTTGCAATGACATGGATGGAGCTAGAGATATAATGCTAAGAGAAATAGAGAAAAGCAAATACCGTATGATTTCACTCATATGTGGAATTTAAGAAACAAATGAGTGAAGGAAAAAAAAGAGAGACAAACCAAAAAACAGACTCTCAAGTTACAGAGAACAAATTGATGGTTACCAGAAGGAGGGTGGGGTTGGAGGATGGGTTAAATAAGTGATGGAGATTAAGAAATACACTTGTGGTGATGAGCACCGGGTGATGTACGGAATTTTTGAATCACTGTATTGTACACCTGAAACTGATCTAACACTGTATGTTAACTAACTGGAATTAACATAAAAACAACAAAAAAGAAACACTTATATCTTAATGAAAGATATTACTTGAAAGAAGGTATATATACAGTGTAGTCTTAACGAGTTAAGCATATGGCTTCTCCCATATGCTTCTACACATAACTTTGTATATCCTTGTATCTTAATGAAAGCTTTTTTTTTGAAAGAAGGTTAAACAGTGTAGTTTCAATAAGCTGAACACAGGACTATTTCCATATGCTTCTACACATAAGTTTACAAACATCTTAACCAAAGAAGATGTTACTTAAAAGAAGGTATAAACAGTGTAATTTCAATGAGCTAAGGATACAACTCTTCTCATTTGCTTCTACACATGAAGTTTACAAATATTTAGATCTCAAAAAAATAAAGTAAAATTAGTCACATTTGTTCTGTATTTTTTCAGAGTTCAAGCCTACAGACTCCACTGTTCTCTGCTAGGCTGATTTCCCCTTCTAATCCCTTTGTATGAACATCCAGGAAGTATTAGAGCAAACGTGTAAAACTACTGTTCAGTGCTTTGGGACAAAGAAAGAAATGATGAGGAAAAAGAAAATAAAGTGACAGCAATAGCACAAAGAAAACAGACCTAAAGTTCTTTGCTTCCAAGCCCAAGACTAGATAAAATTTCTCATTTCTTGCCTCTGAACCACTTATTTATCCTAGTAACTGGGTAGTCAGTTTCTCTAATAGCATATGTAACACACAGCCATAAGTTAGATCAGTAGAGCTTTTGGAGGCCCATTATTAAAATGCAATTCAGCATAGGTAATTTCCAAATCAAGAAAACATGTTCCACAAGATCACTTCCAAGTCATCTATTAAGAATTCAGATTGCATTTACTCAAAGAAGCACTATTTTTTTTTTACCTGATATTGACTCTCCCTAAATGCCAGAAAAAGCCAACTGAACATATAGAAGTATCAGCAGGACCTGAACCCTCATAAACCCAGGTCTGAGTATCCTGTCATTGGAGAGCTTAACAGGGAAGGGGGCAAGTACCTGGCTAAATGAAGTCCAAAACTAGTATTCCTAATTATGATACTGCCTGTACCTATATTCTATATTTGACTCACACCAGCTCTAAATTACACAGATAAGTCTTGAGAGACAAGGGTAATTCAACAATTCAATGGATACTTAAAACATAAATATTTACACATACACACAAACACACACAGACTCCTATCTAAATTTCTTCATTTACTAACAAGTGTTGGCGAGGATGTGGAGAAAAAGGAACCCTCACACACTGTTGATGGGAACAGAAATTGGTACAACCACTGTGGAAAAAAAGTACAGAGGTTCCTCAAAAAATCCAAAACAGAAATACCATATGATCCAATAATTCTATTAAGCACCCAAAGAAAATAAAAACAGTAATTTGAAAAGATATAAGCACCCCTATTTATTACAGCATTATTTACAATAGCCAAGATATGGAAACAACCCAAGTGTCTGTCAACAGATGAATATATAAAGATGTGGTATACAGGGCACCCGGGTGGCTCAGTCAGTTAAGTGTCTGCCTTCTGCTCAGGTCATGATCCCAGAGTCCCGGATCGAGTCCCGCCTCAGGCTCCCTGCTCAGTGGGGAGTCTGCTTCCCCCTCTGCCCCTCCCCCTGCTCGTGCTCTCTCTCACTCTCTCAAATAAATAAAATCTTAAAAAGATGTAGTATATATATGTACACATAATACAATAAAATATTACTCAGTAATAAAAAAAAGATGAGATCCTGCCATTTGTAACCACATATGTGGATCTACAGGGTATTATGCTAAAGGAAGTCAGACTGAGAAAAACAAATACCTAAAAACAAAACAAATGAATAAACAAACATAAAGCAGAATCTGACCTATAAATACAGAGAACTGATGGTTGCCAGAGGGAAAGGGGTTGGGGCATGGGCAAAATGGATGAAGAGGAGTAGAAGATACAGGCTTCCAGTTACAGAATGAGTAAGTCACAGGAATAAAAGGCACAACATAGGAATATAGTCAACCATACTATAATAATGTATGGTGACAGATGGTAGCTATACTTGTGATGAGCATAGCATAACCTATAGAGATGATGAATCACTATGTTGTACACCTGAAACTAATGTAACATTGTAAGTCAACTACAATTTTAAAAAGTTAAAAAAATAAATTTCCTCATTTAAAAGAGAACTTTTTAACACCTCTTAGTTTCTTGCCCATCCCGACCAAATTATGTCTTGCTGTCAGTAAAACTTGCAGACTCCGGTTCTCCGAGGTAATTATTTTATAGTTTTACTCTTATTTTTAAAAACTCAATAAGCAGAATCACATACTTTTTAAATTTGCCTTCTCTGTTCAATACCAGTGAAAGATACAACCTAACCCTAATAATGAAGTAGAGTGACATTATTCTTTCCCACTAAATCAGATCTAATTCATCTCTCCAATAAAGCTGTATGGAAAAGGACATGGCTTTGAGAATTCTAGGATTGTGATCAAACTGTTTTTGTTTTCTATAACCTCCCAGCTTCTTTTAACAAAAAGTCAGGCATTATGTCACAGACAGAACATACAAAACACATGCCTTTTCTAGACAAAGCAATCCCATTTCCAGAATTTAAAACCCAGACACAGAAACCACGCCCCCCCACCCCCAAGGTCTCCTTTAGCCAGTTGTTTGCACAGATCACAGGGAGACTGAAAAGGGAGGAAAATTCTCTGGCAACAAAGTAGAGAAGATGGAAGGCCTCTGCTAAGCTATTCAGTGGTCAGCTTGAAAAAGAAAAGGGCGTAATATTAATTAATAAATCAGAAGGATCCTGGGGCACGTGGGTGGCTCAGTCAGTTAAGCGACTGCCTTGGGCTCCGGTCGTGGTCCCAGGGTCCTGGGATGGAGCCCTGCATTGGGCTCCCTGCTCCGCGGGGAGCCTGCTTCTCCCTCTCGCTCTGCCTGCTGCTCCCCCTGGTTGTGTTCTCTGTCAAATAAATGAATAAAATCTTAAAAAAAAAAAAAAAAAGAAGAAGATATTTGGATCCTGAAATAAAAGTTAAGAAAAGCTAACGGCTTTTTTCAGTCTGCTTAGAAATACAACCTGAGCTGAATCTCTGTGGTGAAAGGCTTGCCAGGAGAGTATCAACCCCATCATCCCCCAGGAGCGAAGCCGACCATGTGTGGCACACCCCACTGCAAGCAGCAGCGGCTGCGGCAGCGCTTTACAGCCTCTGTGGGGAAGGACGGCGTCAGTGCCTAGCAACGGAAAGGAAGTACCAGCCTGAAACGTTAACACTGTGCTTCTAAAATAATCCAGAGGTTCCTACCATTCTAGAAGAGGCTGAAGGAAATCTTTTAACATCAGGGTTAACATGGGAGAAAGGATGCATCTGGTTTCCCCTAGTGTATTCATTTCAATCGACTTTCCCTGTCAGCCGGAAGCTAAAAACTTACTCTGCCTTCCTGGAACTAAGGGACTGCTCTCCCACAGGAACCTATTCAGGTGCTGGCTGATCAGAGGGCAGGTTAAAGTTCAGTGTCAATTTACAGCACACCTTTGTCCACCAAGCAAAATGGCTACTTTACTGTTTGAAAAATAAGTTCATCTGTATCTTCACA